ATCAAAGATACTGGTCAATAATGCCAAATATGTAAATTTGTGTTTCAGTCATTTTTATACTGGCTTAAAAATACTTCATTAAGTCTACTAAGCAGGGGTGTAGAAGGTTTTTAATAGGGCCAGCCCAGTAATGATCTTGGACCAAAATAAAGAACGCAGAAAGTCAAATAAAGGGGGGCAAAAGGAGATGTTTTTCCAGACGCCAAGAAAAATTAAATGCCAAATCCCCCCTGCAAAGTGTGTCACTGAGAGTTTAAAACAAAAATTATTCCTGTGCAAATATTGGTGTATTCACCTTTAATACTAGTTATTTAAATGCAGCAGTTGCTGGATTGGTGCAGTTCAAAGTGGAGCGCATCAAATAAAACAATATTAACATACCCCGCCACCCGCCACCGCCACCACCACAGCTGGAAAAATCCCTAGGAGAAACACTACGTCAGCAATAACTCTTATTATCTGATGGAATTACTTATTTTTGTCCTAATCCAGTCATAATCCAGAGATGGTGATCTGGCCAGTTAATCTCTGCAACAACTCAAGAGCAAATGTTGTACAGATGTTTGTGATCACAGATGCAGCCCATGCAGAGTGCTCAGAAAATATGTGAAGATCTTTTACAGAAATTATTTTAGTCGGTTCACATTGACCTGTCTCCAAGTCTTAACATGACACTACATCAACCCATGATACATAAAGACTCAAGGTTATTTGCTTCAAACTACTTAAAGATCTCATTCACTTGTTTTTCTATAAATCTGCTGTAGCTTCTAGTATGAATAAATGCCTCATGATTCATTTTTGTGGGAAAAGGGCTCCTGCACTACTGTTTCAGAATTTCTAAGTTTGTTGGAGAAGTGGAGGAGCAGAAAATGACAGGAGGTCTTACTACTTAATTTTCATGATATAAACATTTCTCATTTCTGATTGGCTAAAACCAATGTGACTCTTCTGCTGCCTTTGTTTGCTCTTTTTCTGGACTAAAATTGCAAAGCAGATTTTTTTTATTTCTACAAAAAAACAAGCCCAAACTTCGGAGATACTAATGCTAATGGCTAGCTTCTACAGGCTAAAACGAGTTTAGCTTTCTTGACACAAAATCAATAATGCCTTTTGTGGTCCGAAGCCAAGCTGCAAGAGGCCATGAACACTAATTGTTCCTGACGTAGAAGAGACTGGCTTTTTCTGACACAGACCCTTTTCCATCTATTTTCAGTTAATGCAGCCATATGAGTTGAAGAAAATGGTCACATTTAGCATGCATGCGAAACTCCTAATGACCAATCATATCTGAAAAAATATTACATGAATCCACAGTGAACATGACCTTTTTTTCATGAAAACCTTTTACTTAAGGAACTGTATGATTTTCTATGAAAAAAATCACTATATGGAACAGGATCCATTTTGGTGGCTAAGGATCAGGTCTCTGCTTTTTGCAGATTATGTGGTCATGTTGGCTTCATCAGACTGTGATCTCCAGCTCTCGCTGCAGCAGTTTGCAGCCGAGTGTGAAGCAGCTAACAACTGCGATGACAATCAGCTCCTCTAAATCTGAGACCATGGTCTTGAGTCTGAAAAGGGTAGAATGCCTTCTACAGGTCAGGGACGAGGTCCTGCCTCAGTTGGAGGAGTAACATTCCTGCCATTACAGCCCAAGAGGCTTTAGAAAAAGAATAACCGAATTTGAATAAAAGCTATCGTACCATTTGGACTTGAGGCATGGTTGAGGTAATCCTTTTAAAGTAAACACTCTGAAGTTTTCCCCACAACAGTGAAAATGTATGTAAGTGATAATGTCAGAGTATTATGGGCTTTAATGTCCAGAAAAATATTAATTTTTATTGTCGATAATTTTTTTTTTAAATACACACTTTAAAAATAACATCAGTAATGAGATATCTACTGGAAAACATTGTGTGTCAATAGTCTGAAATCTTTCCTCGTCACACACCAAATTTTACAGTAATAAACCTAAAAATGAGTATTTGGCAGATATTTTTATAAGATGAGGTCCAGGCGTTTCAAACGAGAGGATTGGAGAGCTGAGTCGAAAGTTCTTAATTTACCGGTCAGTCCATATTCCAACCTGGGCTTCTCTGCTTAGGCTGCTGGTCCAGTGGCCCGACCTCTGATAAGTAGATGAAAATGGATGGATGGTATTTTTTGGCTTTAGGGCTGGGCAATATGGCCTCAAATAAATATCACAATATATTTAGGATTTCACCTCAATAATGATAAATAAACGATAACTACATGTAAGCGCAGAAATAAAAAGTTGTCCACTAGATGGGGCTGTCACGTGTGTTAAGTTGAACGTCGCCAAACTACACACATCTTTTCATTTTTATTATTATCACATTTATTGACATGGGAAAAGGAAATTGGTTAGATTCTGAAATTTTGATAGTGATACATTTTCGATTTATTGCTCAGCCCCATTTGTCTTCATTATTAACTGATATGCTGACAATCCTTATGATAGTGCGTCTGATCTTTAAGAGCACTAAAATGGTCTGAACATTGTTCATCAAGTCTAAAGCAAAAAATGACCAAATTGTATCTAAAGAAAGTCACAATAGCCCAATTTTAAATTTGTTATTACGACAGCAATGAAAAGAAGCCAAAACCAAACACACATATCTCATGAATGGTTTCTACTAGGGATTTGTATTGGTGAAATTCTGGCAATACGATACGTATCACGATACAGGAGAGACAATACACTATATCGCGATATATTTGCGATACATTCAGTCAGACGATATTGGCGATTTTTTTCGACTGAATCTATTAAAGGAAAATTCAACAGACCAAACTGATACTTAACATGTTTCAAATTAGGTATCTGAAAAATGACAGAGGGATTTACCCCCAAATTCCACTACCTCCGCTCCGCTCCGCTGCGCTCCGACACGAACGCCGGAGCAAAATCGGTCCCGTTTTAGTCAATCAGAGCAATTCCACTACTGCGGCCGTGCTCCGGCAGTGCGGCGCCGTCCTCTGTTCCGGCAAAAAAAGAATCGATCCTATTTTCGCCGGACGCCGGAGCACCTCCGCAGTAAATGGACAGAAATCACAACCGTCCAACAGGAAAAGGAGCGGGCACAACTTCCGTTTTTCACAATACATCGATAAACAAAAGGCGTTTTTTCTTTCATATGCACAAGTTTAACAACTTTTAACAACTATCAGTGGCGGCTGAAGTTTAAATGCACAAAAGTAAGCCATAAATACAGTTTCCACTATCAAAGTAGTCACACTTTGTTGATCCAAACACTGCTGATCTCTCAACACAAATGATAGGCAGATTAAACAGTTCATGTCGATGCTTCTCCCACACAACGGGTGTTTGGATCTAACTTCCGCGTTTATTGCTCGGACTGTATCGCAAGATCTCGAAAATCCCGCGCATGCTTATTTGCCCACCTCAGGTCTCCGCACCGGAGCGGAGCCGTTGTAGAGCGGGTAGCAGTAAAAATTGAGTTCGGAAGCGAGCGGCAGCGGAGGGCGGGGGCGGACCGGAGCGGAGGTAGTGGAATTTGGGGGTTACAAGTCAACGGAGGAAACAAAGCCCATTGCACACTGCTGCCAACCAGCAGTCGGTGATTGAACTGCACCAAAAGAAAAGAAAATACACAAATGTACTGAATGTAAGAATGTAAATTCTTCCAAAAAATTGATACAAAGCTTTTGAATATCGATATATCGCTGTAAAATAATATCACCATATATTGAATATCGATATATCGCTGTAAAATAATATCACCATATATTGCCATATTAATATTTTCTTACATCCCTAGTTTCTACGTTGATTTACCAGACAGACCTGTTGAAAGAAAAATACAGCTAATAGTACAAATATGTTTTACAATAAGCTTTACATTGTGACAACAGGAATCCTCATACAGTCAACTCGTTTACTGGCAAATACCCCTTGACAATACTGTTTTTCATTTTGGACACACTAACAGGAAGCTCTTAAACACTCATGCATGTATATGATGCACAACAAGTGTTAGGTTTGGGACTGGAGTGCATTTTCTTCTTTGTGTGTCATAATCCATTAAGTGGTTTCCAGAACCGAGACCCAATAGTGAGCCTCAGGCCTAAACACTGCTCACACACATCCTGATCACATCACAGCCCGAAGCACCATCCACATTCCATAACACGTTCACTTTTTCCCCTTTCACACACCTAAACGAGCAAAAAGGTGGAACATGGGTGCAGCTGCTGTGAATTGTGTCAAGGTATTGAAATGTAAGCTATTACTTCAAATAAGTAGAGATTTGCTTTTTTAAATGAAGACATTAAACATTAAATTAGTAGTATCTGGAAACTGTAGTACAAAATTGCTATTTTTTTCTAACTATAGTGTTTAAATTGGGGAGAATTGTGCAGGTGGTGGATAAGAGTAATTTAGGATGCTATAAAATTGTCGCAGATGCCGTAAATGAGAGCTAAAAGGTGCCAGACTTTCTAGCCAGAGGGCATTGGCATCTGCGATCAGCTTGTCATCATGAAGAGGGCTCGTTTAGCTTAGGTCTATCTAGGAGCTGGTCAATTTCGCATGAGTCAACGATGGGCGCACCTTCCATTTGCGTAATAAACCAGCCCCATCGCTTTAACTCCGTTATGCATAGGATTGGTGCTGTGTAGTAATGCTCTGCGATCCAATCTAAAGTCAGTTATACAATAATTAGACCGGATTTTGCAGTAATTGGAGAAGGCATGGTTTCTGAACTGGGCCGGTGCCAACACTCGCCCCCCAAGCCCCGTGGCGGCCCTGCCCTGCTCCGGCGCGGCCTACTAGGCTGACCGGCTCCGGAGCGGTACGTCAGAGTGCAGCGGTGAGCGGCACAGGGGCGGTGTGAGCATATTTCTGTCAGGTCCAACCTTTTATGAGAGGGTTGTTAGCGGGGTGCGTGTTGTCCAGACTGACTAGGCCTGGTACGTGCTGAGAAAAGTCACTGTAGAATCAGAGGTGTACTCACGGCTGACTTTCATGCTGCCGAAAGCAGAGGGCTGCGGCACTGGTTTGCAGCTTTCGGCGAAAGATGTGGTCCTGGGCCGACCCGACATGATCCAATCCCTTTGATTCTCTCGACTGGGAGGCTTTGACTAAACGGAAGAGCTGATCGATTCACCGATCCTTCTCATCCAAAAAAGGATTGACAGTAAATGAATATGTATCTGTGATCCACAGGAAGGGCAGGCAGAAAGAGACCCCCTTTTTATCCTACGGTACCTTGCGTTACTTTTTGTTCTTTTAAAAATCAATTCGTTTGAAACAGTCCTTTCTTTCCCAACAACGGTCAATCAGAAAATATTTCCTTCTTAAACTCCAGGATTTATTTCAACGGGCCTCAGAAGACTCTCCGTCTAAAATAGTCATGAATCTGGCCTCTCCCTGTGGCCCCTGCTAAAAAAACGATTATTTTCCGTATGAATTCCACAATTATGAAGGAGGGTTGGCTCGGATGTTAATCCAACGTGGACCAAAGACAAACGTGTCGTTTTCTCGACGACTCAGGACACATGCAGTTCCTCTTCATATCCCGATGTGGAGGCTCAATGACCCGACTGCCATGGCGGCTCCCGCTATACCCAAGCCTACAGACCGTCCAACGGAAAAATTGCCAGTCGTCACAGTCCTCTTTAACGAATTAACGACTTCAAACCAACACTGAATCCGGTTTCGTCGTCGTCAAATTTCGGCGTCACAACCGAGGCTCTGGGGCGGCTAGCTTCTCGAAAAATAACGGTCTCAAGGTACAGAGTGCGACGATACCGAATGTCTTTTTTTATTTCTTCCCCATAGGTTTCGGGCTCGCAGTCTTTGTCGCTGCGCATGTAACGTACGCTGTTTCTGTAAAGGGTTTCCAAGCTAGCTCCACCATCACCGTAAGAAGTTCACGCTATTTACGTAACTCGTGACCGAGAATTTAAAAAAACGTGAACGCGCTTACGCTAAAACTGGGGCGGCATGGTCAACCAATCAGAGATGGGATCCTTCAGAAAAAGGCGTTTCCCCGGCGCAGTGGACCAATAGAAACGCAGGTGTTGAGCACCACATGGCATTATTTGTTCAGCTCCGCCCTCATGACTTCAAAGACTTTTCCATGCCTTGAAGGGGGGTAAGGGGCGGAGCAACCACCGGGATTGATGGCTTTTTCGACCAATGGAGCTAAAAAAAAAACCGGCTGTCAGTTCAAAATGCCCCAGCTGTCACAGAGCACCGGTGGTCATGCAGCACTGTTGCTATGTTAGTTACAAAAGCCTACCCCCCTTGCCTTTCATGGACACGTTTTTTTTCTCTTTCCCACGCGACCCTCGGGCAAATCAAGTAAATTTATTGCTCAGTTTTTCCAATTTTAGTTGTAAGTTTCCCTTCAGTATAACTTTTTAGAGAGGTTCTGCATGAAAATTGTCCAAGCTATAGTTTAAGTCTTAAAATATGAAGTGCTTATAAGTTTTTAACGTATGCAGTCAAATGAGCCAAATAATTAGATTTTTGGCAAATACTGAATTGATATTTGTAACTGATATGATATGTAAAGTATTTATAAAGCTGCGGTAGGTTAAAAGGGATTACACGTATCTCTCGTGACCCTGAACTACAGGAGGTCCGTGCAGCTTCAGTATCACAATCATCAGTGCATGCCTCCGTTATATGTCAAAAGGAAAAGTTCAGCTGTGTGGTGGAAGATCCCACATTAGACTCTGGGATACTTTGACATTTTTAAAGACAACCTCACGTCTGGCTGCTACTGTGCCATGATCTTTTGGTTGCAAGAAAACTCCAAACATCACACCCCCTCTACTGTGCATGAAAGTTGGTATGAGGCCTTTAGAGAGAAAGATGGCACAGTCAAATATGTGATTTGTTAATGACCATATAAATTCATCAGGATTAGTTCTGTAATGGAAAACCAGTTTTTGTTTCTCAGAGTGAAACTATTACTCATCCCAAACAGAGTGAAAGTCTCTTACCTCAAGATGAAGTCTTCCCTTTTTCTCAGTAAACAGTGGGCTGGCACCAGTCTGTCTTTTGTGTGATCTATTTATACTCTGTTGTGTTGCACATCAAAAGGAATTTCTCCGAGGCTGTCCTTCAATGGTTCACATGCAGAATAAACCTCAGCAGCATTTTAAAACAGGCTGCTGAGTTGAAGTAACGCAAGACACAGATTTCCCTTCGGCAACACCTCCCCCAGCCAAAGCATATTCTCCCACAAGCATAAAGATAAAACACAGAAAGGCAAAAGATGGCTGTGGGCGAGAGGATCAGTCTGGGCTAGAAGAAATGAAGAAATAAATATAAAAGAAACATTTTAAAAATCTGTCCTCACTACACTGTTTACCAGTAAACTACAGAATTCACTGGAAAGTGCTTCTACTAGTTTATAAATCACTCAATGGCATGGGGCCAAAATACATGTCAGATCTCCTCCCATACGCCTGGCAGGGCTCTGAGATCAGCTTGTAGAACTTCGGGTCAGAACCAAATAGGGCAAAGCTGTGTTCAGCTACTTTGCTGCACACAGATGGAATCGGATTCCTCATAACCTCAAATGTTCCCCAACTCTTGTAACTTTTTAATCAAAGTTGAAAACCTTTGTGTATTCATCAGCATTTGAATGCACCTTCTGCCCTGGAACTGCTCACCCTTTAACTTTGTCTTTTTGAATTCTTGAATCTGAAATTAAATTGTGTTTTTTTAATTGTGCTGTCGCATTGATTTTAATGTTCATGCTATTGCTGCTAATGGAAAGCACATTTAATTGCCTCTGTGTATGAAAGCTGCCTTGCCTCGCATCACAAACTGTTCTGCCCATGAATTGCAGTACAAAACTACGGGATTGTATCAGATCTGATTGATAGAACATTTTCTCTTTTGAAAAATAATCATAATTATATTATTTTAGCATGAAACACACAATTTAATAGAAAAATGTCGAAGTGGGAACTTGAAGTCACTGAGGTTTGATCTACCGGCATTCTTTATCACAACCAGCAGGGGGCGACATAATAGCTACAACAAGAAAAAGAAAACACAAATACCAACCTCCTCTTGCCTGCAAAGCCATCCTATATATGTGAATATATAAACAACTTTTGCAAAGCAAGAATTTGGTCTAATTCATTAGGCTAATCATTCTAACTAGATTTATCACCTTGGTAAATCCTTACTAATGAGTTTATTGTTGTAATAAAACCATTCAGACATTTTTTTAATGCAAAATGTATTTTCTAGTCAAAATTGAGGTCATTTATGATAAATTATCCAAGAAAACATGGTATGACCATGTATTTCTATATTTTTCTGTCAGGATATACTTGCTATCTGAAAATGCATGTTGGTGTATTTAATTTTTATCTCAAAAGAGCTCTGAGAAGATAATTTTGCATTATAGCAGCTCAGAGAAGCTTTAGTAGTTTGCTGTCAAACTGTGTTTTGTGTCTGCAGACAAAACAGGCTTTAATCCATATTATTATCAACACTTCCTGTGTGAATTTATATTGAAAATGTGTTGAGTTATTAAACTGAAGCCAGTGCACTCTGTCCTGTGGCCAGCAGGGGGCAACCTCTGATTATAAAACAGAGAAAATATAATTAAAAATAAAACTGGCGTAATACCAAAAATCATTTATGTTTACATTTCCCTTATTCAGACCTATATCTCACTCACGTTTATACATTCCATGGTGCAAACTCTTTCAGACATGAGATGACTTGCAGTGTTTGTCCTGAGGATGTTTATATTTAATATCACCATTGCATTTTCTTTAACTTGTCCCTTTCTGCATCCCCACCTCCTGCTCGCCGTATGGTTGGTTATCGTTTTCTTAATGAGAGCACAGCTAGACATTTTTCTGCTGCTTTTGATCCACCCTGTTCTTCTGATAACGACCCAGATTCCTTAACTTCTCAGCTTAACCAGCACTGCCTCTCCATTCTGGACAACATCTGTCCTGTCAGAACCAGATAAGTTCCTGCAGTGAACCACGTCCATCTGCTGCACCTAAAGGATCTTCTGACATCCTTTAACTCTGCAGTCAGAGATGCTAGGGTTTCCTATTTCTCCAACCTGGTGTCCCAGAGCAAAGGGAACCCCAAGGTGCTGTTTAACACCATCAGCAGCATCGTCTCTCCTGTCTCTCCTACAGCCTCCATCCTCTCTGTTACAGACTGTGAGAACTTTCTGTCTTTCTTTGTGGACAAAATCAATAAGGTTAGATCTAGCATCTCTCCTTCAGCCTTTGACACTGTTGACCATCACCTGCTCCTAGAGAGGCTCAGAGACTGGGTAGGCCTATCAGGATCTGCTCTGGAGTGGTTCTCCTCTTATCTCTCTGAGCGCTCCTTTTCTGTGGCCGTCTCCAAGTTTAGGCCCTCCACCACCACCCCTTACCCATGGTGTCCCACAAGGATCTGTGCTGGGGCCTCTACTCTTCCTCCTCTATCTGCTTCCTCTTCAGCACATCCTGAGCTCCTTCAAGGGAATCTCCTACCATCTTTATGCAGATGACATCCAACTGTACATCTCCTTTAAGCCCCATGAGATGTCTAAGCTGCAGCTGTTACACACCTGCTTAGACTCTATCAAAACCTGGATGGCTGGGAGCTTTCTTCAGCTAAATGAAGATAAGACTGAGATTCTCATATGTGCCCCAGACAAGCTGGTTCCCAAAGTCAGAGACTCTCTTGGTCAGCTTGCTTCTCACACCAAACCTTCCGTCAGGAATCTCTCACCCTGGATTCTCATGTCAGTTCTCTTGTTCGCTCTTCCTTCTTCCATCTCAGGAACATTGCTAAGTTGAGTCCCATTCTGTCCCGCTCTGAACTTGAGACAGTTCTCCACACCTTCATCTCCTCACGCTTAGACTACTGTAACTCTCTTTTCACGAGTCTGAGCAGAACCTCCCTGGACCATCTACAGGTGGTTCAGAATGCCTGTGCTCGGCTTCTGACCAAGTCCTCCAAACACACCCACATCACCCCACTTCTCCTCCAGCTTCACTGGCTGCTAGTCAACTTCAGGGTTCATTTCAAGATCCTGGTTCTGGTCTATAGGGCCTTACATGGACAAGCACCATCTTACATTGGTGATCTTCTTAGTCCCTACACCCCCAGCAGGTCCCTGAGGTCCAGTGATCAAAGCCTGCTGGTTGTGCAGCGCACCAGGCTAAAGACCAAAGGTGACAGATCATTTGCTGCTGTGGCCCCCAGACTCTGGAACGCTCTCCACCTGAGCCTGAGATCAGTGGACTCAGTGGTCTCCTTTAAAAAACAGCTAAAGACTCACTTGTTCAAGCTGGCTTTTGTATGACCTTCTTCATCCCCCTCTCTTTATTCTGCTCTCCCCACCTATTCCACCTTCCTCAGGATGCACTGATTTCCCTCTTTCCTAGTCACTCTCTCTCTTTTTAAACATTTTTTAATCACAATTGTCTATTTTTGCTCATTTAAATATATTTTTAACCATTTTCTAAATTCTTTTTTTATATTTTTTACATTTTTTGTTTTTGTGAAGCGCCTTGTGATTTTTATCTTGAGAGGCGCTATAGAAATGGTATTTTCTTCTTCTTCTTCTTCTTCTTCTTCTTCTTCTTCTTCTTCTGTCTGGATTTGGACCAAGTTGCTACAGAAACTGTGTTTATTGTTGATGGGTGACTACAGCAGATGCAGAATGAGTCGAGTTTCCATTTGGAGGACTTTAAACCTGATCAGGCACTCACTGCTAACCAAAACTAGAAATCAAACATGTAGTAAAATCTTAGTTTTTTGCCATTTGGCTGTGACAACATGTCAAAGAAAAACTAATCAAATGGCACAATTAACAAAAATAGTTTTTATGAAATATTACTATTTCATAAATTGTACTGATTTTTATATTATATTATAAAAGGGAATTTTGGTGGCTTGTCAACAGGACTCTGGGTTGTTTTAGAGTTTCTTCAGGATTAAATAATGCTATTTATTTCTGTTCCAGTTTTTCAGACCTTTATTTGGTCATTAAGTGGTTAAAAACTATTTCTAGTGCCCCAAACTGTTTTGGTTTAGTTGGACTCTTATTGTAGCACTGTTGCCTTTTCTTAAAGGTGTGGTTTACTTATTTATTTAATACATTTGCAGTGAGCTCTCGCCATATGAGTCATTAAGAAAGCTATGGTGCCCTTGTTCTGAGCTAAAGTTTGCTGGTGCAAAGTCACTATCACAACACGTTCTCTCCTCTCTCTCCTTGCTGAAAAATAATTTTAAAAGCCTTCCTGCAGGCGAATGCAAGCCAAGATGGGCGAGGCCATGAATGCAAATTCACAGTGTGACATCACAGTATGAGGATTTTCAAATCCTAACATTTCTCCATCTAATTTCTGTCAGAAGCTAATACAGCAGATAGGTGTAGAAGACTGTTTTCATGTTAAGCCTGCACGAAAGAGTCAGAGTGACCGATTATAATCAGAAACAATAATCAAAAACCTTTTTTCAGTCAGCCACACCTTTAACTTCTCTTAAATGTGTTTCATTTCATTCAGGGCCAAAGAATAAGTCATTTTGATTATATCAACTTCACTTTGCATTTTCTCACCAAATTACCGTTTCAAATTCTTGTAGGAAACAACATTGCATTTGAGATTTTATAGTGTCACCAGTTTTGACCCATCACGTCATCAAACAAAAAAAGTTAAGTTCAAACAACAATACATCAAAAATAAATATTAAAATGAATACACTCATTGCACATTTAATACACACTTGTTTTTCATGTTGTGTTTAGGTTCCCTGGTGTCTCTACGGCATCCCGTTTTTCAACACGACTCAGAGAGTTGACTATTAAAAATATAGATTTCTGCTTTTGACCTATAAATTATTGAAAAAGTTTTAAAGTCTTATTGTAAGTAAAACTACTCAGTCCCGTGATAGAAGACTCAAGAATATCAGTCAGCTCTTCATTTAGAAAGAAAAAAATAACACTTTCCTTTTCAAAGTAACAGTCCAAAGTCTCTCCCAACGTTGAATCATGTAAATTCAAGTGCTTGGAATGTTAAACACGAAACATAAAATCCAGTCGGCCCTTATGATTCACACTAAAGTGGGTTTGAGGTCTTCTTTGAACACAACGGGCCGAGGGGCATGGTAGAGGTTCGTACAGTCGTCAAATTCGCTGTCGGATGAGTCCGAGGAGCTATCGGAGCTCAGGAGGGAGCCTCGCTGCAGGCAGGAGTCACAGAAAGGCCGGTGGAAGTAACAGTAATCTGTTGAGCTGCTAGAGTCTGAGTCCCAGTAACCACTTGAGTCTCGAATGTGGCGACTGCGTTGCTGCCTGTCACCATCTACATCCATGCCAGGCTGAGATGAGTGATTGTGTCCCACACAAGGACAGGCTGTGTATTTGTGGAACCTTGAAACGCACCTTTGACATGTTTTCATCCTTTCCTGTTCGTCCTCAACTCCCTCTTCTGCCTCAATTTCCTTTTCTGGCTCATTGTTGCAACCATGAACATGAAAAAGTGTTTCATTCATAGTGGAGCTCCCTGGATTTGGGTCTCTTGTCTTTCTGCAGGTCGGACCATCTGAGCCTTTGTAGAAACAGGAAGAGGACAAATGTCTTCTGGAGGAGTAAAAGGGAGGCTGACGTTTTCTTATGGCGTATGGGGAAAGGCTGGGGCAGTGGGGGAGGGTGGGTGGGGGAGGGGAGCAGGGTGATGGAGGGGTCAGCTTTGAAGGCTTTCCTGATGCTGCATCCAGGCTGAGCTCCAGGAGGATCTCCTGAAGCTTCTCACTGCTAACAAAACCAGCCAGTTTTGCATTTGGTCCTATCTGCAGCGTTAGTCCACTGTGACCAACAAATGTTTGCGCTTGAGAGAGGTTCAGTCCTCTACGGTTTTGGAGAGAAGTGACAAAGTGAACAGCCTCCGCTGCAGTTCTGCAAGGAAACGTAAAGGACACAGGCCGCTTGGGATCCTCGTCCACTCTGGACTGAGCTGCGTTTCTGTCTGCATGTCCAGACACAGATGCGTTTCTCTGAATTCCCCTCACATAAAAATCTTCATCAGCCGGGGAAGCGGAGGAGTTTTGAACAGAGGAAGAATTGGGGGGTGATGAAACGGTGTTTGATAAAACAGGTGAAGCAGGGAGGCGGTTGGAGAGTCGAGGGGATGAAAGACTAGATTTGATGTTTCCCTGAGATAAGACGGAAGGAGAATAACTTTCAGACTGAAGCTCAGTGGTCTGGGTGGAGCAGGAGTTGAGCTGGCTGGGTGAGCCATCCACGTCCTCGATGAGCTGGCTCGCTGTCATCAATCTCAGGAGCTTCTCTTTGGCATTGTTTACCTGCTCCTGAAGAGTGTCGATCGCAGCATTTTTCTGAAAAGAAGAAAACATTAAATTGTGAGCAACACACAAGGGAAACGACAGTTATTTGGACTCAATTCAAATATAAACAGTGGACTTGGTTACTGAAGCTGTGCTTGTTTTGATTTGGCTTCAACTGGTCTGACATGATCTGAACTGGTGTTATTCCTGGACCCGGGACAAACGTTACGGCTACCTAATCACTTTGCACTGATGTCAGACTTCCACAACTCCATCAAAGGTGCAGGTGCATGACAGTAGCTCTGTTTGCATCCTTCTGCATCAGCTCATAAGCTGCAACAGCTAAATGCATTTGGCACTAAATGTAATCTACGCTGAAATTATGCATGTTCAACCTACACATTGTTTTTATTTTCATTTTGCTAATTGGCGACAATCATGAACGGGTAGCTGAAATCCCAGTTGTGGGTTACAGAAATGTTAGTGGTCCTGGACTGAAACCATAAAAAAAGGGGAAAAAAGCTGACCAACTAAAGTTCATTTTCTCTCAACATTTTGAGCATTTTATTGCCAGGATTTAACAAAAGGATTAAGAGCTTCCAGCGCGTGTATCACTATTGCTGAAGGCAGCATTTTTTCAGTCAACAAGCCAATAAAGAAGACAGGTATTTATCTGCACCCTAAAGTGCAGATGTCACCTATAACAGCAATAGATTACCTCATTCAGGAGTTTTTTCATGGAGCTGTTCTCTCCCAGCAGGTAGTAGATCTCATCCTGGCTGTACATGGACGTCTGGCTCTTACTGGGGCTGCTGAAATACTTGGCCATCTGACTCGGGTTGTTCTGATCCTCCTCAAACTGTCGCCACTGGGTCAGCTGCACAAACGCAAGTTAGACGGTTCAAGGTTTCTAACACATTTTCAGTATGTTGCAGCAATTTCGAGTGGCAGATAAATTACCGATAAAGGTTATAAAGACATCTAGGAAAATGTGAGCTGACATTTTGAGGAGGTGTGTTTGAGCAGTGTTTCTTCCCCGCTCGCAGGAGATGCATTCCTGTACGTTAACATAAACCCTCTGCCAGGCTCTCAGAGACTCATAAAACGGGTTGCAGCCGTTCACAAAGGATTGAGTCACACACAACTTCTTTGTGAGTCACTTTTAACCAATATACACCGAAACCTCACCTGTGACTATAAGGGTTACAGTTTATTAGTTTTACTCCCAGAGAAAGAGAAACTCATGCTCACGTAGAGCATCTATGTGTGTGTCATATGTCTGTCTTTCTAGTTTCCGTCTGTTTGATCACATCTCTTCCTTACACAGGAAGTATCATCAACGGTTGGTGTGGGATTCTAACCTGCGGCACAAACAGCATGCAGTTGGTAGCCAGTGTGCAGAGGAAGATGGCTCCAGCCACTGTGCTGTGGATCAGGTTGGGCCAGGCCTGCAGGAAGATGGACACGGGGACTGCCACAGCAGAGGAGAGGGTCACCAGGGTGACCGCTGTTATGATGGTGGGGGACTGGTTTACCGGAGGATGGCTGACGTTGCTGGTCAGACCGGCGAGATAGGTGCCATAGAGGAGAAGACAACCCTAAATAGTGAGGTTTGACACATTGGTATTACAGTGACTTAAGCAAAGAAGGGAGTAACTTTTATTGTGAAATTTTATTGGTCAAATCCTTCACAGTGCTTGTGCGGAATATTATCTTTAAAAATAAATATGCAATTGGGGAAATCATGTTTATCTCTGCAGAGATGAACCTCAAGGGTTAAAGGAGACATGTTATGGCTTTTTTGAGGTATAGTCATTTGCACTAAATCCCTCTCACATGAAGCAATTTCAGTAGTTTAATTCTTGACAGTTTCAGTACCATCCAGAATAAGCCATTTATGGGTACTGTCATTTTAAGAAAACAAACTGGAGTTGGCCACGCCCACCCATCCCCCGCTCAGGCTGCTATAAGCTGAGGGGCTCTGATATCTGCGAGAGGGTGAAGTTGAGCTGCTGCTCCTTCAGCAGCAGCTGCTCTCCTCCAGTTGAAAGGTGGTTCTATGGTTATTTCCCCATTAGTGACATCACAAACAGGGACTTTTTCAAACAGCTCGTTTTAATTACATATTTTCTAAAACTAAACATTGAGAAAATGGATGGATGTTTTTGTTAAGGTCTAGAGTGTTTATAGAGACAGTAGAGACCCACATTGCAACACAAAAATATGCAAAAGGTGAGTTTTACATAAAATGTCCCCTTTAAATAACACTTCTACACTAGAAAAACTACATTAAAATTATAATATGCAGAAAAAATGTTATCAAAACAATGACTAAATATAGTTTACCATGGTAACTTACTTTCTGGACAGCAATGATGATGACCCAAATGGTGGAGTATTCAGATGAACAGGAGCTGAGCTGAGACAAAGAGGAGGAAACGTGTCTCTCCATCACCTGCATCAATGGAAACCATTTATCACTGAAACTTTGTTCATATAAGTAGATATTTAACATATTTAACAGTAACCAAAAAGTATTCAGAAGCATCAGATGAAGACCTTCACATCCGTTCCACAGTAGCTTTTACCTTGACCACAGCTTTGACAGATCTTGAACACCTGATTGGGTCTGAGAGGTTCCAGGTAGTGAGAACCAGGATGTCCACCAGGATCAGCAGAACCACCATACCAATCAGCTGGATGTCCCGGATTATCTGAGACAAAACAACATATCACACTGAAAACAAAAAAAATAAAAACTGTGCAAAACTCCAGTCTTTACAAACTGAACGAAAAATAGCTAAAGCTCAAAACCTACCACTCTTTTGTCAGGCACTCTCTGTGTGAACACTCTGTAGAGTCTCCACGTCTTCCCCAAAATTGGACCAAACACCAGAGTAGTTCCAACACAAAGTGTCCACTTGCGAGCCTGTGAGACACGACACCACGTGATCCTGTTGTCATCTTACAAATCCAACACATGAGTAGAGAATCTGGGGTAAACTGGATGATCACCTGCAGCAAAGCTAGAGAGGTTCCAGTTTGGGACTGAGCCTGTTCATCGATGGCAAAAAGGAAGCCGCTGGCGTACGTGAGAACACTCCCAAAGAGAGTCAGATAGTTCAGGTTGGGACTGGACATCTTGACAATCCTGATCAAATGACACAAACATAAAATGAGCAGTGATTACCTTTTATAGTTTGTATTCCTCTTACATGCATTCTCCCTTAAATGCACTTTTGAGTCACTTTAGGCAAAAGCATCTGCTAAAATGTGTAAAAGTAACATATTGAATGAAACCTTTTCTTTTATTGTTTCGTGTTTTACTTCCAGGAAGCTCCGTTAATTTAAAATATGTCAAAGTGGTCATGATTTAATTGTTTCTTAAAATTTCTGAAGGTTTTTAGATGTTTTTCTTCGGACCATTGCTCATTTCACTCTTTTTTTATTGGAGTTTCAACTGGATCTTGGGGTTTTTAAAGTGACAATGTGTAATTTTTACCATTAATCTCTGGAAATACCCATTAAAATGTTGTAAATGAATTAAAAGATGCACAGTTGTGGAAAAATATTGGCAGTTTCACAACATATAACCATAAAAATCTGTTCTAAAATACATAAGAGCGGGTCTAAGGATGTTTCTCAATGTCAAGGCGCCTGGCCTTGCGAGGCAATGTCTTGCGAGGCCAGGCGCCTTGCTTACGAGGACACTGTCCTTCCTTCGTCATAGAAAATGGTTAAATGGAACGGACTTGCATCACGTGACCGTGGCTTCCACGCCAGTCATTAGCGTCACGTGACACGGGAGATAACGTTATATTTCATATGTATGAATTGCAATATAAATATAGAATGAGTCTTTTACTTTTTAAATTGTGTATATGTTTATTAAATTAAATATATAAGTGAGCTACTACCCGCTAGCCACTGAAGCTGCAACTAATAAGCAACTAACCAACCACAGATAACTTCTATGGATCTAAAAAAAACATTTTACATTAGTTGACTCACATTTAAACTTGAAAATTGCCCCCGAAGTAGCTGCCGGCTTCTGAACCGCCGTCCTTTTAAAAATACAGCGGTGTATTCTGGGTAATTTTTGACCAAGGCTAGGCTACAAGACACCTCCAGTGTATCGTTGCTCAGCTAGCTAAACGGCTAACAAATAGAGAACACACGCCTCGGTAGAACATGAACACTGGAACAGGTCTTGGCAGCTCCTGATGACATATCTCCTAGGCAACCGGGGCGGGGCCAGGACATCAAGGCGAGGTTGCTTGGCATTGAGAAACACCCCCTAAGTCTCTGGATGACGCCATACTGGATGCCATGTTTCCTTCTACGGAAGCCCGTGAGGACACAACACATTTACTGATTTGTAACAAATGGTGACAAAACTTTCACCAATAATAAACATTGTTGTTTTACACATTTACCTCTTCACTCATTGCCAGTGATATAAGGCAATCTGATGTGCTTTTCATTTTGCTGGAAGTTACACACCCAGGGATTTTTGACCCTAACGGCCAGCCGTTGGTAAGGTCTTATTTGAACACAAAAATAATGCTTCATTGCAATGATTTAGGTATCTACTGCCCCCTATCGCCAGAGATAATACACACTGTCACTTTAATAATAATAATAATAATAATGCATTGAACTTATATAGCGCTTTTCTAGACACCCAAAGACGCTTTCACACACTCTCACATTCACACACTGCTAGTGATGGTAAGCTACTTGTAGCCACAGCCGCCCTGGGGAGGTCTGACAGAGGCGAGGCTGCCATTTGGCGCCATCGGCCCCTCTGACCACCACTAACACAGGCAAGTTGGGTGAAGTGTCTTGCCCAAGGACACAACAGCAGGATCCCCTGGCGGGAGCTGGAATCAAACCCATGACCCTCCGATCATGAGGCAACCCGCTCTACCACCTGAGCTACTGCTGCCCCAGAAAGTAAATCCCAAAGGAAAAGTAAAAAAAAATCATGGCTGAATAAAACATTTGCACAACCTCATAGTTCACTTTCTACCTGTTGTTTTTAAAGCGCAGGGTGAAAAGGAAAAAGCAGACGGCCGTCAGGATGCCACAGGAGAGGAGCGTCCAGACGACAGCTCTCAGCACCGCAGAGAGGGGACGTCTTGGGAGCTCCGCTGTCAACTGCACACACGGACATGAACATTCAAAACATTTCATGAATTCTCGTGTAAACCTGGTTTAAATGTACCCCAGACTTGTTACAAGTGTTTGAATGTGTCAGTTTATTCCGTGACAAATGTAAAAGCAATCAAACAAGAACAGATTTACCTCAGAAGATGTTTTATTTGGGCAGACAAAGATCACATAATGGGACATTATTAGAAAACCTAAATCGTCAAAGTGGTGAGAGTTTTAAAGCAACAAAAACAGGTCAAACATTCTGGAGATTTAGACGTTAACAGGCGAGATGACAAGAGGTGAAGAGTTGACCCCGTCATGATTCCTCCGTGGGTTAAAGTAGGGGAAAAGTCTGTCCCTGAAGGTGTATCCGGTGAACGTGTAGATGTGAGACTGAGCGTGCACGTTGTAAAAGGACACTTGGCCCCCCTCCAAATCCACATATACCCCGACGGTCTGAGGCTTTTCTACCAGCGGTACACAGACCGGGGGGCTGCTGAGTGCCCAGTATTTCTCATCCTTCCTCATCCCCAGGGTCCAGTAGCCTCTTTCTGGATTCAACAGATTCCCTCCTTTTCTGTTGACGGATTCTAGCGCCACTCCGATGTCCCACTCCGTCTTCCCTTTCACCTGGACCTCGTAGTAGAACCTTCCAGAGGAAAAGCCTTCCCTTGCCAGAACGCTAACACAAGGGTAAAATCTCTCTGGGTTGTCTGGGAGGCTCTGAGCCACATCTCCATGGTAGACCTGTTTCTTGTTTTCGGACAGCACCAGTTTGGGATGGGCAGTGTCCGGATCCAAACTCACTTCCACCACACAAGACTTCACACGCGTAAATTCAACCTCACAAAGCCTTTTCACCTCTGTCTTTACCGCCTCCTCAATCAGACTAGCGACTCTCCTCACCGACCTTCTCACCGTACCGACGTACTTGGAACTTTGTGCCCACGCTTCAGACCAGTCTTTGACGGCTGGCATCGTGCAGAAAGCCGGAAAGCTCTTGAGAAGGTAGAGATCGTCATTGGTGAACAAGAGCAGGTCCAGTTCAGTGTTTCTGCACTTCAGATCATCAATCTCCTGCTCTAGTTCTTTTATCAACCCACTGGCCATGATTTCAACGCGCCTCTGCTTTTCTCTGATCACCTCATCCACTTCGGCCTGGCCTTTCTGGACGAACTGGAGAAGCTTGTTGAAGACCCGTAAACTCTCCTCCACCTCGTTCTCTGTGTTTCTCCTGCTGAGCTGAACAGCTTGATTGATCTCGCGGATTTTTTCCAGCCGGCCGTGGATCATCTCTCTTATCTCCACGTTTAAGTTTCTGATCTGAGCTCTCCTGTCTCTGCTTTCGTCTTCTATGCAAACCGTGTGGTGAGTCTTGTGTTTGTCGCTAACACAGTGTTGGCACACGTACGTCTGGTCGGTGTGACAGAACAGATCCAGAAGACTCTCGTGCTTCTTACAGACTCTGTCCTGCATGCATATCATGGGGCTAATGAGTCTGTGATGCTTCAGGGTTACTAGGACATGATGGGGCTCCAGGTGAGTTTCGCAGAATGAGGCCAAACAGTCCAGACAGGATTTCAAAGCCTTCACCGTTCTTCCAGTGCACACATCACAACAAATGTCACCTTTAAGGGCCACTGACAGATCTGTAGCTTTGGTTCTGTCTTTGCACTTCTCCCCAAGCTTCTTAAAATGAGAAGCCACCTCAGATATGAAAGTGTTCACTTTCAGGTCAGGCCTCTTGTACAACGTGTGCTTGCACATGGGGCACTGCGGCATACTGGTGCCATTCCAGTATCTCTGAATGCAATCTCTGCAGAAGTTGTGTCCACAAGGAGTGGAGACCGGCTGGTTGAACACATCCAGACAGATGGGGCAGAGAAGCTGCTCCTTGGACAGGATGCTGGCAGCAGTTGCCATATCTGGGAACACATCCAGAAAGAAAAAAATAGAAAAACAAGTGGGATGTTACAGAATAAGTTGGATCAGCTCTTTGTAGTTTTGTCTTACACTATCATGCTTATGCCTTGTGATCCGTCCAAATCCATGAATAGCAACAAACACACAGGGTTCAATTTCATTTAAATGTTTTTCATTTTAGCTGAACAGTTTTCACATTGCTGCAGTCAAGAATCAGCAGTTGGAAGAACTAAAACAGACTGTTGTCACTTCAGACGGTGTCACAACATGGCAGAGCGCAGCTCCAACCTAAATCCTTTATCAGTGAAGATGGTGGCATGCTTTGAGGTCGGCAAATGTAAAATCTAACATTATAGAGCATAACTAAATCATTTGAACTCACCTCATTTTGTTGTGGAGTTGTCTAAAAGGGAGATGCCTGCAAGTGTTGACTGACACAGTCCCTCTGCTTTGTTTTTATTTGGATAGTCACGCTATAGTTCCTCTTGCCCGCCTCATGGCGTTGACGTCTGCTCACTCTTCTGTTAAAGGCATCTGAGTCTGAGTGGATGCTAAACATAGCTTCAGGAGTCCATCCCCATTACCTTTCCTGATCGCTGCTATTCAGCTGTCTCATCCAGTGGAATGGTACCACATGTGAGTGAATAGATGGACAAACATCGCAATGAGAAATGATAGAAATGTTCTGAGGGATGCTTTAGTGAGAAGCCTTTTGTTCTGATATTGATTTGGATGTAAATAAGGAACCGTTTCTGCTGATAACTTGTTACAAATGGACTTTTAGATGCTGCTGTAAGTTTCTATTGTCTAAAGCGGAGGTCCGAAAACTTTACAACCTACAGAGTCATTTTCCTCTCAGTCCACCTGAACGAAACTGTTTTAGAGCTTCAAATGTTAACAGAAATTTTTGGAAAAACATTGAATTCTTGATATATTTCTATGGAAGAGGATAAGGGCCACTGGGGGGAAAAATAAACAAAATTCTGGGGGAAAAAGTAAAAAAAAAAAGATTCTGACCTTTTTTTTTAGATCAAAGTCAGACATATTTTTTCATCTAATTAAAAAAATAAACACAGTTTTGTATCTAGCTTTAAAAATGAAGACAAAACAACATATTTTTGCAAAATGTATGAAAATTTTTCTATGGGATTTTAACATTGTGTTGTGTTGTGCATTCATTTAATATATTGAATGAAAAAAACTGAAAAGTTGCCTAAACTTGCATTTTTTTCCAATTATATCTACTGTGTGTTTTAAAATGAGTAATTTTTTCATATCAATTTAAAATGAAAGTTATTATAATTCATTGTGGAAGATCCAAAGAGCCATAGGCAGCAGACTCCTGGTCTGAAGTTTACACTTGGTTATGTGTGTTGATGTTCAGGAACACTCCATAGAAAATGCTGTTAAGGAAACTATGAAGGTTTCCATAGAAATATTATATGTCATAATCTAAAACTGTTAGTTATTCAAAGGTTTTCATGTCAAAATCTGGAGAAACACAAAATAAATAAATAATAAAAGAGAAAAAGACCACAGAGTCCAATAATTGCAACATTAATGGATTCTGAATAAGAGACTGTGTTGCTTTTGAATCCAAATGTTTGTGTTTGTTCATTTCACAGATGCTGTTGTCCAAACGTCTAGGAGGAAGCTGGAGAACCCAGAGAAACCCCATACATGCATGGGGAGATAACGCAAACACCACGCAGAAAGGCTGCAGCTAGGACTCAAACCTGCAACCTTCTTACTACAAGGCAACATTGCTACCAACTACACCATGCAGCTAGATGATGACAACACTGTTTCGTTAGGACAATCCCTAACAGCCAGGTAAATGAGCCAGATTGGTTCTGATGAATAAATAATCTTCGTATTTCAAACCTTAATCAGACGCATTACTGGAAAAACTCTGAAAATGACAGAACCCACCACTCATATCTTGGTGTCTGATCATGGACGTAATTTTCACTTTAGAAGTGTGTGTGTGTGTGTGTGGAGGGGGGGGGAGGCACGGAGTGGGGGGGGGGTGTCTTTACAGTATGCTCTAATGGGAAACAGGCTTCAACACAAATGGTTGTTTTCTGCTTGGTCCTAGAGCTCAACCAGTGTCAATTTAATATAGCATAATATTGTTTTTGGATGGTAAAAAGTGCAGGGGTCATAACTTGATTTTGGAAAAAGTGGGGGGGACATGCCCCCCCCCCCCAAAAAAAATTACGTCCATGTGTCTGATACTGCCAGGGATCTAGAAGTCCTAGTACCAGCTAGTTGGAACTGTTTCAGAGGCACGAGGGGGATCTGCTCTATAATAAGCAGGAGGATTTTTTATGTTGTGGTCTAAGATAGTTTTGACCCCCTCAAACATTTAGAGCAGCAAACATATTCTGTGTCACCTATTTTGCTGAAATGTGTCAAACACGTCTAGCATGTATTTAAATGTGCTGAAAGAATAAACGCAAAACAACATTGTGGAACATTTTTGTGTTTGAATTGCAATGAAGCACGTGTGTGATTGACTGCAGGGTTACCGTCAGGCTGCATAGTCTTTGTAGGATGTCCAAGCCGTCATGGCTGCTGATTCCTGACTGGATGAAGCAAAGTGGGGAATTACACTGGGAGCTGCAGTTCAGCTCATGCTCCATGACTGGCCCCAGTCGGTCCACCATCACACACACATCCTGTGAAAGAATAAAAAATAAATATTTTGCCTTGTAAGAAACTCTCTCCATAAGGTATTAATATCAAGAGAATGGTGCTAACTATTTAAAAGCATAAATGTTGCCAAAAATGTATTCTGAAAAGCCAGAAATTCAGAAAAACATTCTTTGACAGCTAAACGAAACCTAAAAAAATGTTCCGGGGGTGGAAAAATCCTGATTTAAAACCTCCAACATCATCTGTTTTAGTGTGATGACTCATAGGGGAGTTAGTGAGAGATCCCAAAGGAGACAGAAGCCTCGGGATAAAGATGATACGAACGTCTGCTCAGATTTGAATAAAGTTACCCGGACTCTGCTTCACGACACATGAACGTAACTAACCCATCTCAAGAGAGTTACAGGGTCAAACACTTGTGTAGTCACCAAGTCAGCAGCTGACTCATATGAAATCAAGCAGAAACACCAATTAATCATCATAGGACATTCAAATCCTGGAAAACATTTCTATGCTATGTGCTTTAGTGTCTAAACTTCAGGTGGATTATTAACAAAATAAAGGAAAAAAATCTCCTCTTTTTTCATATTTTATCATTCATTTTGAAAATATCATCTTCCTGAAACCTTTTTTATTATAACAGACAAGAAACCGTTTTTTTTAAATAAAATAATAAAACAGAAAATTTAGTCATTAAAAAAAAGTTCTATGCTAAATTCTGTCTTTTTTCGAGCATCTACGAACTCGGTGTGAGACCTGTTTGCGCCACAGTGTGGTGCTCTGACTAAAACCAGAACAGACAAGCCAGGAAGCTTCAGTGTTTCTGCTCTTCTTCACTGAAGCAAATGAACAAATCACAGTTTGCTGCGGCGAACCAAACCTTTCTCCTGCTGAACTTCACCAAGAACAAGCAGTCTGTCGGTGCTGCTGCAGGTATTTTTATGAGGCTACCCCCAAGCTGCACCGACATGCAGGGGATGAAATAATCAGGCCCCCTTGATCCTGAGCTGAAACGAGACTTGAAGTCTGATTCTTGTAATTGCTGCTGAGTCAGCAGCGCGCTGCAGAGACGAGGCAGGATCGTTTTTATTGATACAAATTGGCAGACGGGTGAGATCAGACACGCGCCGTCAGTGTCTGTGACGGAAACTGTGTTTGCTGACTTATATCAGGTGGAAAAAGTCTGCCAAAACGATGATATATAAAATATATAATGTGATTTATTAAGGAAAATATTTTGCACAAAATGCTGTGAAATCAAAGCAGCCCTGTTGGCAACATTTCCAGGAAATGTCTGTAGTTCTTGTTCATTTCCTGTAGTCGTTTTCCAAGTTTAGATCACAAGTCCAGCTTCTTCCTGCAGGAAAAGCCGACGGAGAGGCATTTCCTCCGGTTTATCAGACCCAAACTCTACAGGTCGGAGTTGGAAACAAGCCCACCGATGTGAAGGGGTCATCAAACATCCAGATTGTTTCTTTAGGAACGGGAGCAGCATACAACCTCAAACTGTACGTGGTTTTTTCTGAACGTGTTTTAACAGTTCTGCACCGTCATGAGGAGTGTCTTCTACAGTCCTGAAGGCTAAACCACAAGTATTACCTGAGCTACTAGAGTACGTGTGGGAAGGGCCTCCTCAGCCTGAGTTTCACTTGTTTACCTTCCGCCGCTTTTCTTTAACTAAATAATCTGTCAGGAGGGTTTAAAACCTCTCGACAACCCAAAGCTCTCACGGGGACTCTTGATTTAAAGAGTTAATGACATCAGGGGGGATTAAAGCCACTTATTGTCTTGTCAATCAATCGTTTTAGAAGATTAGAGCGGCAACCGCCACGCTAAAGGCTGCGAGGCCTGGTTCAAGGGCAAATATTGAAGCATTCTTTCAGAAAGCCAATAATCCGTTTATAAGTTTTATTCTCTAATCTGAGTCATAAAAGGAATTGCTGGCAGAGAAAGGCGGCTTTGAATTTGGTCATAGGGTGGTTTTTAAAACCTGGTTTAATGAATTATTCATTTGTAATAAATTCAGCTGAAGGTGATTATTCTGATCTAGAGGAAACAATTTTATTTATAGATATTCAGGTGAGTGACAAAAAAGTGTCAAAGTTAATCCAGGAGGTGTTTTTTCTTCTATTTGTAGTAAAACTAAAACACATCCTACTTTCTTTTACTTGTTTAACCAATTTTAGATACAGCAGATGTTTGTTTCTTTACATTTTTGTGAAAACTACTCTAAACAACGTTTGTATCTCTTATGTTTAGCAATAAAACAAACCTATTAAATAAAAAGGAATCAAACCAACCTGTTAAAGGAAAAAGTGAGAAATGAAAAAAATTGATGAAATCAAAGAATAAAAAGAAAATAAACAGGAAAGATTCAGGATGCAAACCTTGATCCTCAAAGAAGGTTTCCATTGTGCCGTCCTGCATTAAACTCCATCGCCCAGCACCCAAAAACGTTATGATAAGAACTAAAAATAAAAGAAATGATCCCGCATTGCTACATGATCCTCACGGTTTCATGACTTGAAGTTGTCAGTCAGAGAGGATCACTCAGGAAAACGCTCGGCAGAATGAAGGAGTTTCCATTCGAGCCAGAAGAGAGGGAGGGAGGTGTTTGTGTCAGGAGAGGAGGTGACTGCTGTCCTCCCTCTCTTCTGTAAACTTTCCAGCTCCAGAGATGTGATGTACGGTGTGGTGCAGCACAGACCCCAGGGGTGGAGGAGGTGGGGACACTGGGTGGCAGATGGGACAAACAGGGAGGGACACAGAGCAAACAAAAGGCTGAAAACAGTCAGAAAGAGAAACACACATGATATATTTTTCCTATGCGGACGGTTACAACGGATATGGATGTAATTTTTTTTCTGCAGCTTGTCGGGTCACATAGAGCCGTTTGTGTTTGAGCGAAGCGTGCCAGCAGAGACATTTGTTCCCCCAGCTAAGAGTCATAAAGGTGTTATTAGGACGTCACCAAGATTTACTGTGGGAGCCTCTGCTGTAGTGTCATTCCTGATGTGGGAGTGTCACTGCTGACAGATGTTAAAGAGGAAATAGGGGACGTGCACTGAGTTAAAAGGAGCTAAATACAAATTTTACTGCAAAAACTCATATTAGTCCCCTTTTCTTCCCCAGGAGACATCTGTGGATGCAAGATCATTTGCAAATACAGATCGGTTAAATGCTCGTTTTGTTCATTTGAAACCCATCAGAGCTTTCATTTTCAGAATGAGCATCACTGCAGGCACTGAAGAACCCAGGTAAACCAGATTTTTTTAAACATAGACGTGATTCCAGCTAAAACAAGTGTCAGTGAGATGAACTCAGATCACTTAAAGATGCATGACGTGAACTTATAACCCAGCTCGTCTCTGACAGCCCGTTGATTAATCCAGAAAAAGGAAATTCATCACCTGTCTCCAAAGGGCTGAACGTGGGCGATGATGTTTACCCATCACGTGTGCGTTCTTTTAGCAAAATCCCTCACGACTCTAAACTTAAACTCTTAGATCTGGATTTGTGAATGCAAAAGCTTTAATCAAAGAGAAGCATCAAACTCCATGAATTTGATGAGTTGATTGTTTTTCTAGCTTCTTGGTCTAAAAATGAGTGATGTTTTGGTGATGTTTGCTGTGTTTAGTTAAGTTTTCTGAAGAATGAACTCTGGTTAACCTTTTAGAAAACTCAGTAAGGGTTTTTGGTCTTTTCTGCCTTTAAAATCAAAGCAAGAAATTATTTTAAGTCATATTAACATGCAAAAGTGTCTAGCTTGAATATCAGCTGAGGAATGCACATGGGGCCGCAGACTGTCCATGGACACCCTGGACTCCAACACAACACAAGTTGGGATTTAAATTTTAAAAAATTATCACAAGAGAAATTAAAGCTCTGGTATTATTCTGGGGGAGACATATGAAAAGAGACAAGGAAAAATCTGGAAAAACAATGTTAAAAGGAAACTAGTGTCCGTTTGTAGAACCAAAACCAAAACTTATCTCCTTGCTGTGCGTTCTACTTTTTGACACCTTGATCTAACAGCTGGAATGTCTCCCAGCCTTCCTTACTGTCTACAGGAGTGATTCTTCTCTAAATTATCATTGATGATCTAAAACGTGCTGGAACCAGACTGCAGCACCAGCTATGTCAGCTCAATTTTTTCTAAGTCCCAGCAGAGCGGCCCGCCACTCTGAAGTTGCAGGTGGAATATTCTGGTCACAAGGGGCGACAGGGGCTGGGTGACCTTTCAATAACCCTGTAAAGGTCATTGTAGCATATACTGGCTCAAGAAAATTGTTTAAAACTATGAAAAAGTTGCAAAGTATCCCCTTAAGCAACACTGTAAGATTTGCTCAGAGTAGGTGCTGTCAATGTCCCCTGACTACTAACATATTCAATTTTAGCTCAATATCTCAAACATTTCCTGAATTACAATCATTTTATTTCTGCAAATATTCATTTTAAAAGCATGCATTTATTATGTTTGAATGAAAATACCTATACAGACAGTCTGCAGGATCAAACAGCAGCCAATACTCAGAGAAAAGGATGCAGCTATTACAAGGCCGGATTAACCATATGGGCAACTGGGCAATCACCCAGGGGTCCATGAAGTCTAAAGGGCCCAGGCCCAGGGCAGCAAGGGCACGAGCAAAGTACTGTATCTGTAATCTCCCACTTTATATTAAACTAGGGTGACCATACGTCCTCGTTTCCCCGGACATGTCCACTTTTCACTCTCTGTCCGGGCGTCGGGGGGGCGGGGGGGTCTTGTATTGATGAAAATGTCCGGTTTTTCATCCAGGAGCAGGGATCAAATTATGGGGGAGCTGGATATCCTACACATCCAGGGGAGCCGGTTAAAAGTTTTCTACCTATATTACATCATTCATGGGGTCTCAGTGTACCGGGGGTTCTTTTGAGCAGAGAGCACAGATAGCGGCAGAGCGATGATCGTTGTTGCGCAGCGCTCCAGGCTGCTGTGTCCAGCGCACGGTCCATTCTCAAAGTGGCACAACCAAAAAATATAATGAACACACGATCGTTCATGTCCGCACATGTTCTCTATTTTCTGTCTTCTTTGTGCCTGAAGCGCTCTGCTACTGCGGAGCTCATCACCTGTGCTGCGGTGATTTCACCTCACTGACGCAGCATCGAAACTCGCTCTCCGCTTTGCGGGTCAGGAGATCCCTTTGATCTGCTCAGAAGTAACTGATGAGCTGAAAAAGTAAGAATCCAAGCAGCAGATTTTCTGGAGAGTTTAGAGGAGATGCAGGAAGATGAGAGACAGACAGGACAAGAAAATAGTTAAATAAAAACAAGAAAACAAAACAAAGTGTTGAAAAGTAAAATGTAGGTAGATTTATCTCCACTACACGTTTTTACCTGTATAAAACAATAAGTAATACACATGTCATATTTATACATTTGATACAATTCAGATCACCTTCAAAACTCAGTCACACACCCAGGGCCGTTTCAAGGCATTTTGGAGGCCAAGGCAAAACAGAACAACCCCCCATTCCCATAACTGGGCTCCCCAGAAGCCTCTGTGTAATTCATGCCCTCTCCAGTAGTGTTAGTTATACAGTGTTTATAAAAGCCCCTCAGACATTACTGACATGTTCTAATATTATCAGATGAAAAACTAAATTATCAGACATGCTGTCTCATCTGCTTCTTTTCTAAACTTGCAAAAAGTAACAAAACCATTTGAAAGCCACTATTTGTGGAGTCTCTAAAAGTTTCCATGGAGTGTGTGACAACTTATTTTTTCATTGATCCTATCGTCTAATCTCACAGCTGAAACAAGCATCCTTAATAATCTGTGCACAGGAAGTTTACTGATGCTGCAGTAAAACAAAAGGTATAATAATTTATTATTAATAAAACCTTGTTGCAGCACTAAAGCAGAAAAATGAGATTTTGAAATAAATATGCTAAATGGTTACATATGAATTGTTTTAGAGCCCTTTTATTGCTAGAATCTGATATTATTTTTAGTTCTTACAAAGCAATGGGTCCCAACGTGGTTTGTGTGGCGTTGCCATAGTGTGACGTCATAGGCGCAGATCCCCTGTCCTTTTTTTTGGAAATGGAAATATGGTCACCCTACATTAAACAAACTGTCCACCCGGGCTTTTGCGCTGCACAGAGACGCTTCGCTGCCTATGACTCTGAACGTCAGTTGAGAGTCAGTCTCATGCAGACTGACCAATGAAGAGAGGGCCTCAAGTTAAGACCTTCTCCTCATTGGTCAGTCCAGACGAGGTGGTCAAAGGTTACTCTGGGCAGGTTACGTGTTGTCAGGCATTCAAGTATTGAGTATATTTACTGCATATTACAGTAAAATATTCTGTATGTGACCATATTATGGTGATCCTTGGGTTGTGATGATGGGGCCGTTGAATATTGTTCACCAGGGTACAACAAAGGGTTAATCGGGCCCTGAGCTATAATATTAATTTGGATTATTTAAGTTTAAATATCTGGTGTTTGTCCTAAACTGAAGGACTAAGTGTCACCATCTCTGTTACACCCAATGCATTGTGATAACTCTCAAATTTCCTCCATGATCAGGCTCAGTTTGCCTCCAACAGCTGCAGGAGGACTGCTCTGCCACTCAGATTACTCGGATCTTAAATATTTCATCTCAGGACACAAGGCTGGTGCTCAGAAGGTAGAAGTCACACCATGAAAGCTGGCCGGAAGAAACCGTACACACGTTGTTCTACTGAGGTTACCAGGGATCAATCAAACATTTAGACTTTATAATTAAAAGGGGCAGGTGTCAGCAGCAACCTTTTATACATGGAGCAGCAGGAGGACTACTAACTAAAAAAAATAAGACATTTTTTCAGCACGACGCACAATTTCCTGTTGAGCCACTCCTGACAGGCCGTGGCTCTGTTTCCTGACATGGAAGCATCAACATCCAGCCAGAAGTTCCACCTTTCTGTAGCGGATGAGATTGTGAGGGTGAAAACGGTGCTTTCTTCTCTTTAAAAGCATTACTGACCCAGTTTTTGTGCATTCATAGATACTGAAGCCATGGTTTAGTCACCATCAAAGAAAACTCCTCAGGAGCGCTGCAGCATAGAGGCAAAGATGTGAATCTGCACTCCTGGGCTGGTTGAAGCTCAGCTACTTCACCCTTTTTATCACAAAGTTTACCTGCAAACAGGTCAGCAGATGCAAATGCCAAAACGGGCATTTAGAGGCAGAAATGAGCTCATTTGTAGTTCCACTTTTGGATCAACTCAATAAAAGATGGCTGCTGCAGCTAATCAACAAAACACAAACATGGCTCAAAACTCAATTAATTCCACAATTTTAGTTTAAATTTTTAATTATTTCCCCCTTCATTGTGATATTTTATATAATTTATGTGTATTTGTATATTTTATTTATTTGTTTATTTTTAGTTCCTGTGAAGAGCCTCTTGGTTTTTATCCAGTGAGGCACTATATAAAAAGTTGTTTCTTCTTCTTCTTCAGTAGCTGAACGTCATCCCCATACCACGAGCATACAAATTTTACAATATTGAGTCGAATCGTGCATTTTGAGTGTTTATCTTTCAACGAATGATGATCTTAGTTTAAAAATGCTGGCATAAAGGTAACAAGCGACATATATTCCTTCAAGGAACACCAAGCCTTTAATTTGAGCAGTTTTGATCTCCAACACCTTCAGGGGAATGTTTCTGTCTTCAGCTAAGAGCTAGCTGTCTCCTGCTTTCACAATGAGCCAGAATGAGACAAGTTTTTATATTCATTATCTGACTGGATTTAAGAGTTTAAGTTTAAATCAAAAGAGAGTCACAAGTAACTGTTTTTTTTACCCCCTTTTTGTGCAGATTTAGTTGATTTATGCCATCCAGAGCTGAAAAAGGAGGCAAACGAATAGTTTCCAGCCTGGATTAGACACTAAAATATAAAAAAAAAAATGCAAGCACTATAAATTATTAAGCCTTACCGTCTTGGTTATCTAGAACCTAAATAATCAGATGTGTAATTCCTCACATGCATATAGTGGTTTTCTTTGTCTCGGTTGCTTTTCTGTCTATTTAAAGATGATTACAGACAACTAAACAGGATTTTTGTTTAAAACACTTTAGACAAGATGCATAAACACATTTTCAGACAAATACTGCCTCAGTCTCCACTATTTTAAGAGAATCAGATAACCAGTTTGGGCATTTGGCTAGTCGGATCAGAAAGTGGATTTCCATTTTCAGCAATAAAGCATGTTTAAAGAAATCTAAATGAATAAAATTCTAGCTTAACTTTTGGATACAGAAAAATAAAATGCAAATGGACATCTGATCCAGGCTCAATCTAGACGTTCTTGTCGAAGGATTAGCAGAACTACTTTAATAAGACAAGGCTTGATTGTTGTCAGGGTTTCTGCAGCATGTGGCTGTCATGTCCAATAAGTAGAAATGAAAAAAACTAGTCATGTGTGAAGTCAGGCATGCACATCGACTCTGTGAGCTAACAGAAGTTGGAATGCCTCTGAATAATCCGATTACAGCATCAGTACATCAAAGTATTTTCCTGAAACATCACGTTGTTCTGCTGATCACCTGCAACACTGTCTGCATTGTTACCGGAGGTGAAGAAAGATGTGCCTACTGGAGATTTACCAAACAAGGTTTGGATTAAATAAATCATCAGATAAGACTACAATCAGCAGAAGGATGAAGAGATGTTTACCTTAGAGCTGCAGATAAAAGATGTTTCCCATTCAGTCTCACCTCTGACTGATCCTACCTCAGAGTCGGAGGTAAAGACGAGTGATGAATTTTTAATTTTCTGACTCTCAACCTTAAACAGGAGGTGTTTAGACTCCTGGAGGCAGCATCTGACAGTCTCTGGTTACATTTGCATGAGCATCTCCTAGTTGAACACAAAGCTGTTCAGTTTGTGTGTGTTCACACCTTCTGGGGAGTGTTTCCTCAGCTGTGTGTAGGTGGAAGACCTTTACATACGAGCTAAATATGCAGCAGCTGAACTGAAATTTGTTCAGACCACACCGAAAATCAGAAATGAAAAAAGCTGAAACTGGAGCAGAAAAGGAGCTAAAAGAAAAGGAAACAAGCTAGTTAATAAATTAGCAGCCATAAATGCACTTGTTTCTGAGTCTATTAGCTCTGGGTGACAGAAAACTATTGTTCTTATTCAGATCTGGGATTAAACTGAGCTTTGTGTGCAAAGAAAACCTGAATTTGTGTCACAGAATGGAGGAATTCATGTAGAAGTGAGGGCTTTGGTGCTAAAAAGATAAAATATAACAAATAAATAAAAAATACGGGTTTTAGCAACTTTTGTTTTCTTTTTCACAGAAACATTTAATGTAATTTCATTTTATAACTTTTGAAAAGTTAATTTTCAAAAAAAGGCCTAAACAGATGATTTTGTCACTTGATTCGTCCGCACAAGTCCAGTGCTCAAAAATCAGAAAGAAGAAAGTCCTAAGAGGTTTTCTAAAGAATATTATTTAAATGGTGACGATAGTGAACAGAATGATAGGTCCAGTAATAATTTTAGATGCACGTGTTCTTTTTTATGTAATTTTCTACAAATATCAACATCCAGTAGAAAATAAATCCATTCTTTTAGCAAGTTTTTGCTTCACTTTAAAACCCGATTATGGAAACAACCTTTTAACGTCCCACCTATCCAACAGATATTTTCAGAAAAGGAAAAAATAAGTTTTTGTCAGTGGCCCTTATAGAAACCAACCAAAATTAGTTTTTATTTTCTCTAAATGTCCTGTAACAATTGCAGCTTTAAACTTTTATTCAGGTGGACTGAGGGGTAAAATATTGGATTGTGTTATAAAATATGCAGACTCATGACATAAACAACAGAAAAACCCAATTTTTATGTCATTTTACTCAGTGAAATAAAGATTTCTCACTTATCGTTCAGACTTTGATCAGAAAGCATCATTATTGTTAAAAATCAAAACTTTATTACTGTTTTACATACAACACAGTTCATGTGTCCTAAAAGTTGTAAACATACATTTTATGGATCAATACATTTCCTGTTTAAGTGCCACCTACTCTAAAATACTTAAAACGTAGATTAGTTGACATTTAAAAAAAAAATCTGTATAAAAGCCAGTTTTATTATGAAACTTCTCTTAGTGTTGTGGTTAGGCACAGAAAAAGAATTTATTACAATTAGGTTTGTCACATTTCAGGGAACATTTATCACATTGTCTATTTAAACACATATTTTACTTGCTAAAACTCTCCATTAGTCAGGCATTTAGCAGTGGATATAATAGTAGTGATGGTGCTGTTGTAACATAAGTTTGTTCTGTTTTTCTAAACCTTAAAATTCTGGGATGATCTGACTTCAAAAGACATAAAATGGTGTGAAATGTTGGGAGAATCTCCCTTCACGCTTGCAGAAAGCTTCATCAGATGTAACCAGCAGACAAACACGTCTTTTTTTTTTAATAAAGTGGTTTGTCCTAAAGAGAATGGACACAAAAATGTCTCAAACTGAGTCCTGTGTGGACGCATGAAGGCTGCAGCTCCTGTGCTCAATAGCTATTGTTTTTGCGCCAACAGAGGATGGGTTTCCCAGGTCCACCCTACAGCCACTTCCTGTAAACTGGAGCGTAAGAGACCGACTTTATTCATGAAGACTTTTCTCTTCCCAAACATACTGTCTCTAATGAGCATAGGCTAATAAAACTAGTCACAAAAATACCACCTAGCTTAATATGTTGAACACCATCTTTATTAAGGCCATATCCAACTACTTTTTGTTTACATACTAGATTTTCCCAGAGATTTTCCTTGATGCTCAGAAATAAACGGAAACTCCAGCAGCAGCAGCTGAAGAACACACAGAGAGAAGTGTGTAGCAGCTAAAAGAGCTTTAGTGTTTCAACGGAGGAAACGTCCTGCTGCTCCTTCATCCTTCGAAGTCCAAACATGAGTTTTACTGCCCTCCTGTGTCTGACAATCAGCCGCATAAGGTTTAGACTGAAAGGAGCAGGTTTAATGGAGAAACACAAGCCCTTCTTTTAACCACGCACTGACATCATTTTAAAAAGACCAATTTAAAAAAAGATGGCATATTCCCAGAGCTGCAGTTATTTTCTGTGCGTTTTAGCAGACGACTGAAATAGTAAACGGTTTATGTGTGTCCAAACACGGCCGTGAGGCTAGGGAAGTCTGTAGCGAGCACCACTCGGTAGCATTAAGGAACTTCTTGGATCATTATCCCAGGAGGACCCTCTGGAGGCGATCGGCCGGCACGCTGTTCTCCTCCTCAGACTCCGCGTCGCTCTGAGGGTTGGAGCTGCAGGGGGAGGTGCACTCGGGGGAGCACAGATAGTGCATGAGAGGCAGCCGGTACTTCCCACAGAAGTCCACGAATTTGATCTGTCGCACACACGAATCAAAGTACACTCCTGGGAAGAGATGACAGCAGCAAGGACGCGTTCTTAAATTAGTGTTGTAAAAGTGATGGGCAGCAGATTATCCACAGTTATGATGATCAATAAAGATAGGAAACATCACAGGACCACACGAACCCAACCATGCATGAACCAGAGCCTTCCAATCAACCCAACCAACTGTGCAAAAGAAACCCTCTTCCTCCTTCAATCACTTTCTTTGAGGACAGCAAGGCCTCAACGTGGGTAAACTTGCAGGGATGTTCACCGCAGGGAATACTGGCAACAGGCTTAGATGTTTTCTACTTTCTAGTGAAAATTATTTCTCACTCTATAATTATGAGCTCCAAATTGTTTGGAGAGGTCTTTATAATCCCTCCTAGCATGACTGGCAGCAGTGACTTCTCCAAGATAATTGTTTAAATCCATCTTTTATAGACTGCTGACGACACACATCTGAATATTCCAGACCACAGAGGTCTGTTATATAGAGGAGTCTCTACTCTCTGGTGATCAGATGATCAACTGCATTTGATTAACAGCTTTGGCAGAAGCTAAGGCTCAGATCTGATTTGATGTACAGTGTTGTCAAACAAAAGAAATGGATATCTCACCAGCACACTTTGGGTTGGGACACTTGCTGGCCAGATCCAGGTAGCGGAAAAGATTTGAAGGGAGGTCACGAGGGAAGTATGGAATATTTCGACTCTTTATGGTTCGTCCTGCCAGTTCTAGCAGCGATGGAGGGTCATAGGTCATCTCTTTGACAAACCGCACCACCAGAGGGTTGCCTCTGAGGCTGAGCTCCTGCAGGTGGACCAGACTCAGGATCTCTCTCGGCAGGTAGGTGAGCAAGTTGTTGTGAAGACTTAAAGATCGTAGAGAGTGAAGCCTGAAACAACGCAGAAATGATAAGAACGTAATATTTGGTTTGTGACTAAGTTTAAAGTTTGATCCGGCTGAGCTAGGTGGAGCTTTTACCTGGTGAGCTGTGGAGGCACACTCTGGATGCGATTGTCACATAGCACCAAATACCTGAGCGAGGGCAGGTTCGCCACCTCTGGGGGAATGGCTGAAATAAAGTTTCCACCCAAATACAACATCTCCAAACTGAAAAGAACACAAGATCAACAGATTATCTACCAAGTAAAATATGGATGTTTGCTATGGGACATTTTTCAAAAGCATCTTAAATAGAGATAGACCGATATTTTTTTTTTATTGCCTGCTCAGTCAAGGGCCAATGCGTGCCGCTGACTGTTAGGGGTGGCTTTCGTGGTCGGTAGAGCTAGATGTTTTAATGGTTTAAGTATTAAAGTATTAAAATCAAACATTTAACCAAAGCCAGTCAAACAAGTCAGCCAACTATAAAACAGGTGAACACGAAGAAAAGTCGGTTGACAATAATGCTTTGGAGCATTCTTTCATTTGAATATATGGTTAAACTGAATTCTGCAACACCGGGCTGCCCACAACTGTGCCCGACTTTAAATTGGCTCTACTAAAGAGGTATATCGGACATTGTGATTGACAGACAAATATAAATTGGTCAGCCAATATATCGTGACGATATTTATTGTTTTTTAATACATCAGCATATTGTCAATATTTGTTCTTAGTAAAGCAAATTAACCTCCACATCCTTGGTCAGCCGGTGCTGTTGCATAGTTTAATTTTAATGTATTTTTACTTTCACTAATAACATCTGCATAACAAATACTCTAAATTTATTTTACTTAGGTGTCTGACTTTAACACTGAACAGTGCTCAAAGTTAAGATTTAGCATGAAAATAACTGAAAATTTTCTAGATATCGGCCATAAAAATCCACCCATATAAATTGGTGATACATATCGGTCATTGACTGATTATGTCTCCTACACATCGGCATCTGTATCGGAAATAGAAAAACCAACATCGGTCAACCTCTGTGTAAATAGCTGCTGGACACATTAGTTTTTCCCCAACTAAACAATTTCATTGCCAAAATCCTGCAAATGATTTTAACTGGTCCCATTCACTTCTGATTAGCATCTACTTTGATTCGATTTTTTGACAGTATTATTTTTGGTATCCACTGACAGCAGAATGGTTAAGCTCAGTTTTGCTGAATATTGTTCATCTTAACATCATAAACTTTGTGCCGATGGTTGTAATCCAAAGATATTCAGCTTTAAATTATTAATGCCAATTTGTCCTCAGAAACATCGTAGAAATAAAGATCCTTGAGCAATAACTGGACATTAAACTAAATCTGTTCAGAAATTCCACAAGAGGGAGCCAACGACACACTGAGTCATGCTCTTTGGTTCCCATAGACCTAATTATCCACCAGCAAAGGTTCATTTTATAACTCTTTGTCTTCACGTCTGGTTCATTAACAAATGGCAGAGAAATCGTGTTAAGACATAAAATAAGCATGGTACACTATTAGGAGAATAGAGAACAAAGGTGAGAAGTTGGTAATTAGACAGTGAGGAAGTATGTATGATTGGTCAGCAAAAGTAAGCTGCCCAGCCATCTGCCAGCTAGAACTGATGACACAGCAAATGTTAGCGTGGAGGCATTTCACCGGGGCAGGGCACTGAGCAAACAGCCTCCTGTGATGGGCACGGAGACATTTAGGTTTGAACGTCCACCAGTTCATTATGAGTCTGCAGAAGGGAACTAAATAAATCTGCTTAGAAATGTAAGCATATTTTTCTGGGGCAAGTTTCTTTTTAAAATCAAGATAAGTTGTGCAGTACTCCTGTAGTCTGTCCAAAGCATTTCACACTCTTCTTTGTGGCTAGGGTTAAATGAGACCAATAAAAGCTAAACAAACCGTGCTAAAGTTAAAAAAGAATTCTGAGAACCACAGACATTGGAGCTGTTTAAGAACAGCAATCCACTAGGATCTTGGTGGTGCTCAGATTAGTTTTTAGTTCATCATGAAGCCAATAATTGAGATTTTTACACAAAACCAATTCAAAAGGGCCATAACCACTGACGCTAGGGGGAATATGCTGCTAATAATTCACTAGTTAAGAAACTTTGCTTTAAACACCAGGGGTCTCTCATTTATCAAACATTGTGTAGAATCCTTACTAAAAACCGTACTTAAGCTCAGCAAAACAAATGTACTTACGCCAAGCAGCTTTATGATCTACCAAACATGGAGTACGCACAGCTGCACGCAATCTCCGCTTCATAAATCAGAGACTATCGAGAATGTTTCTCAGCTGCGGTTTAGTCACATCCCGCCCTCACCACGCCCACATACTGCCATAAATAGTCAATGCAAAGTGCCTTGTGGATCTCATACATATACATAAGCCGGCTGTTGCAGCGCTCCGCCAATGACATGGCGACGAGTTTGTTCTTTATTCAGATTTAACCCAAAAGGTTATTTTTGCTAGCCCATCATTTACTAGCTGCCTCATAACAAACCCCTTGTCCACACATGTCTATTTGACCGCCTGAATCAAACTTGGAAAGTTAATAGTAAAGACAAACACATCTGATATAAAGTAATATCTGTTATTAGAGGCTTGGTTGCCATCCTTATTCTGTATGTTTCTCAGTGTTTCTCTTTCTCAGTGGCCTAGTGGTATAGTGTCTGCCTTGGGATTGGGAGATCAGGGTTCAAATTCCAGTTGGGTCATACCAAAGACTGTAAAAATGTGACCCAATGCCTCCCTGCTTGACACTCAACTTTAAAGGGGTTGGGTTGGGGGGTTAAACCACCAAAACAGTTCTCGAGCACAGCCACAGCTGCAGCTCACCGCTCCCCATGCGGATGGGTCAAATGTAGGGTTGTCACGGTAACCGGTGTAGCGGTAAACCCTGGTAAAAAAGTTAATAATAATAACGATCTTGTTTTTAAAAAAATATATATCTCTGTGGATTACCGTATGCTGCGGTGTAGGTGCAGTGACCCTTACCAGCCACCGTACCATATGCTCAAGTTTAAGAGCCAAAGGAGGAGACGACAGCACTCAGGACATTTATTATCCCTCAAAGAAGACAAAGTCGGAAGTATGGGCATTTTTTGGATATTTGAAGAATTCCGAGGGACAGCTGATAGAAGACGGCTATCCTGTTTGCAGCACGTGCAGAAAAAGTGTCTGTGAAAGGCAGCAACGCTTCAAAACTCATGACACATCTGCGTGACCATCACCCACAACTCTACAGTCAACGCAAGGCAAGCTAACGTTAGCGTTTTAGCTAAAATGCGTGATCTGAGGATTTGGGTTGAGGGAGAATGCAATGAGTCGCTATATAAAGCAGCCGCAGCGCCGCTACCTGCATATAAACCGTGTCGCGGACACCCCCATGTTGAAATGACGCTATGCATTACAGGGCTCCCAGGGGCAGATAAGAGTTGGTCTCTCTCTGAGAATAATTATGAATTTAACAATGATTACTGCCTGATGACATTTTCCCAAATCTGCAAAGCTCACTGGTAAGGACACAAACCGAGGACAATATTTTCCTGATACAGGGTTTATTACTCAAGTCAGGGTAAAATAAGTATCTCATTAGAAGGCTACTTGAGTACTGAATCTGATCTGATCTAATATTTTTAAAATGATGACATCAAATAGACAAAAAATAAGAAGTTATGGGCAAATATTGGTATTTTAAAGACTAAAGGGGAAAAATGTAAACAAATAAACAACATAATTACAAAATAACAAATTTTAGGAAAAATTTAGACACAAACTGAGGACAATGTTTTCCTGATATACAGGGTGTATTTAGTAGTCTGAAAACGTAACACATTTAAAAAAAATACCTCGATAATACCGAAAACCGTGGTAATTTTGGTCACAATAACCGTGAGGTTACATTTTCACACCGTGACAACCCTAGTCAAATGTGGAGATGAATTTCACCAGTGTGTGATGACTGGGACTTTAACTTTCTGATAAATTGTTTGGAGGTATGGACTTTGGCCTGGCTATGGGTCACCCATTCCTACAGCTAAACTCAATACAGGATAAGATAGAAAGCATCTCATGACTAAGCACTATCAGCACTCGTCACAGAAAAGACAATCAACCTGCTGCTTTGTGCTGAAAACAAAGCAGTTCATTTTTGTATTTTTCATGTCATGACAATTTGTTTTCTTTTTGAAAGAATTTCTGTGTGACCACAGTTTTAAAAAGTTGTGCAGTTCTTGCTGCACTGTTTTAAAGGTGTGGAACACTTGCTTAAACAATACATTTGCAGTGGTCTTTAGTAGTAACGAATAGTGTTGTCAAAAAAATCAATACCTAGATATAAATCGATTCTAAAAGTGGTATCTAAATTAGATATTCCATCCCTGTGGTATCGATATTATGGAGTCACACAGCCTTCTTCAAGTACACAGACACGCACGACAGCCAGAGGCCGTAAAGCAGCCTCCGCCTCCAAGTAGAGCTGAGGAAAATAATCAAATAATCGATGCATCGGGATGCGGACATAAACGATTCTGCATCGTAGAGGAGTACGCCATAATCGATTATAGTGGAATGTAGTTTTGTTTTTTTAATGGCGGCACCAGCGCTGCATCCAAATCTGTCAGAGTGAGCGTCCTCCACATTTACCTCCGCCTTAATGTGGTACTGCAGGGCTGAGCGCTAGAGTTGTCACCCAAGACCAAACCGGAACCGAATCAGCCCGACCGGTTCTGTTGGATTTGGGCCGTGAATTAAGTTAATTGAGCGGGTTGTCACGCAGCGCGCTCCGCTTGCTCGATCAGTGACCGAGAGAGAGAGAGAGAGAGACACTGTCTGCTCACACAAGAGAGACGTTCGGAGGACGCTCCGACAAACCGTTGCTCCAAACACGCGTTATTATTTTCATAATTTATTATTTCTCCTGGAAGCGCTCAGTCAGACTGCTTGTTGTAATGTAGGGAGATCCGGTCTTGGGGAGGGGGCGGGGTCAATGAAGGCGGCTGCAGCGTGATCATCTGTCTCTTTTATTTAGGTACACGGAGAAGTTTAAAGGAGAGAGAAATATAAGTTCTACTTTATTCTTTTGTTTCATGAAGATAAACTGATGTTAAATTCAGTTTAAAGAGAAACTGGGAGGAAGCTTTGGTTCATTTTAGGTTACAGGAGATCTTGTTTCCTGTCTGCTCCTCCAGAGACAGCATGGACATGAGGGTCACATGGACATGAGGGTTACATGGACATGAGGGTCACATGGACATGAGGGTCACATGGACATGAGGGTCACATTGTGAGGGTCCCACAGGACAGGTTAGTGGAAAGGTTTGTAGTTAGCTGGTTAGTGAAGGAGATCCATCAGCTGGGTAATTTAATCCTAATCCAGCCCACAGCCTTCTGCTGGTGTTATTATCAGAAAGAATAAAACACACATCTTAAATATTATTGGAAGTGTAGAATTTGTTTTATGTTTTTTTATTTTCTGCATCAAACAGAACTTGATTCATTCTCCAACATTTCAGAAATGAACCACTGGGTTCAAATAAAATAAACTAAGTCAAACATTTCATTTGGTGTCATTTCTGACACGCTTCAACTGTGGCATAAATATTTGCCTCTAGAGCTGCTTAGAGACATTAAACACTCATATATGAACCCATTATGGATTTTATTATTACATTATGTGTCCTGTAGGTTTTCAGTACTTTTTTAGATTTTGTGAGTGTTTGCAAAGCGTGTTTTTCTCAGCCTGAGGCGTGGTGTTGAACGAGGAAACTGATTGTTTTACTTTGTTAAATCTTAAATTTTTAAAATGTTTTGTCCTAACCTGTTGTGAATGTAGAGCTTTTGAGGGATGCCAGGTTGTGTCAATTACGTTTGAGATAAAAAAAAAATAAAAAGCAATTGTCTGACATCTTCTATTTATCAATGAAAACAAATCAATATGAAATAATCATGATGCATCGTGATATCGAATCGAATTGAATCGTTGACCCAATAATCGCAATTGAATCGAATCGGGAGACAAGTGAAGATTCACACCTCTACCTCCAAGACAAACAGAAGAAGAAGACGCCGCATGGCTACATTGCAATTTCCCACACGAGTTGTCTCCGATCCAAGTTTTGTTAACAATGGCAACAGCAAATTTGTGTGGCGCTTCACAGCCGAACTTAATTAGCATACCAAGTCCGACACGTAGTTGTATATTCACGCTTATATGCTTAAAGGAAAACTCCCGTTTATTGCAAACCGGACTTAATTTCTAGCATGCAGTACGTTTGTTTACTCACGCTGACAACTTTGGTGCTACTTGGATTCCCCGGGGTATTTAGATCCATCGGCGAATCACCGTCAGTGTATATCCATATAACGGGTGCGGATGGGCACCCATGGTGCAGCCTCGAAACAAGACATTATCTGCACCAAAACATCTCAATGTCAAAAGGTTTTGTTAGGAATCATTAACATGATTCCCCTGTTCGATTGGAGCTGGTCTGGGATTTCTAGGCATAAATAGACTAGCCACGGCTAATCTAACCGGCGCTTTTAATGACGTCACTGCCGCGCGCTGATCTGTTTTTATTAAGATTACCGGTAGATGTACCTTTGTCCTACTGTGGAGACATTCGTTTTATCCCTTTATTGACCAACAGAGTTGTTCAAAAGTACAGAACAAAACATATGGCATTACATCTTATGACAAAAATGCACCTTAAACAGAGTTTAAGCAGCAAAACATCACTCTGCAAATAGTGTACAGTGGGGCAAAAGTTTTTAGTCAGCCACCGATTGTGCAAGTTCTCCCACTTAAAATGATGACAGAGGTCAGTAATTTACATCATAGGTACACTTCAACTGTGAGAGACAGAATGTGAAAAAAAATCCATGAATTCACATGGCAGGATTTTTAAAGAATTTATTTGTAAATCAGGGTGGAAAATAAGTATTTGGTCACTTCAAACAAGGAAAATCTCTGGCTCTCACAGACCTGTAACATCTTCTTTAAGAAGCGTTTCTATCCTCCACTCGTTACCTGTATTAATGGCACCTGTTTGAACACATTATCTGTATAAAAGACACCTGTCCACAGCCTCAAACAGTCAGACTCCAAACTCCACTATGGCCAAGACCAAAGAGCTTTCGAAGGACACCAGGAAAAGAATTGTAGACCTGCACCAGACTGGGAAGAGTGAATCTACAATAGGCAAGCAGCTTGGTGTGAAAAAATCAACTGTGGGAGCAATTATCAGAAAATGGAAGACATACAAGACCACTGATAATCTCCCTCGATCTGGGGCTCCACACAAGATCTCATCCCGTGGGGTCAAAATGATCATGAGAACGGTGAGCAAGAATCCCAGAACCACACGGGGGGACCTGGTGAATGACCTGCAGAGAGCTAGGACCACAGTAACAAAGGTCACCATCAGTAACATACAACGGCAGGGAATAAAATCCTGCAGTGCCAGATGTGTTCCGCTGCTGAAGCCAGTGCATGTCCAGGCCCGTCTGAAGTTTGCCAGAGAGCACATGGATGATACAGCAGAGGATTGGGAGAATGTCATGTGGTCAGATGAAACCAAAGTAGAACTTTTTGTTATAAACTCAACTTGCCGTGTTTGGAGGAAGAAGAATACTGAGTTGCATCCCAAGAACACCATACCTACTGTGAAGCATGGGGGTGGGAACATCATGCTTTGGGGCTGTTTTTCTGCTAAGGGGACAAGACGACTGATCCGTGTTAAGGAAAGAATGAATAGGACCATGTATCGTGAGATTCTGAGCCAAAACCTCGTTCCATCAGTGAGAGCTTTGAAGATGAAACGTGGCTGGGTCTTCCAACACGACAATGATCCCAAACACACCGCCCGGGCAACAAAGGAGTGGCTCCGTAAGAAGCTTTTGAAAGTCCTGGAGTGGCCTAGCCAGTCTCCAGACCTCAACCCCATAGAAAATCTGTGGAGGGAGTTGAAAGTCCGTGTTGCTCGGTGACAGCCCCAAAACATCACTGCTCTCGAGAAGATCTGCATGGAGGAATGGGCCAAAATACCAGCTACTGTGTGTGCAAACCTGGTAAAGACCTATAGTAATCGTTTGACCTCTGTTATTGCCAACAAAGGTTATGTTACAAAGTACTGAGTTTAATTTTTGTTATTGACCAAATACTTATTTTCCACCCTGATTTACAAATAAATTCTTTAAAAATCCTGCCATGTGAATTCATGGATTTTTTTTCCACGTTCTGTCTCTCACAGTTGACGTGTACCTATGATGGAAATTACTGACCTCTGTCATCATTTTAAGTGGGAGAACTTGCACAATCGGTGGCTGACTAAATACTTTTTTGCCCGACTGTATATATAGTGAGACAATTCATGATTTAAAGTGTTAACTTTCACCAGTTTTTGTATGCATGTTTAAAAAAAATGCTGATACTTGAAAGGTTTAAGCACTTTATACACTTAATTCTTAACATTTAATTTTTGCAATATAAATTGAGGAATGTTATTTTTTGAATAAACTTGTTCAATAAATTGGTGTTTGTAAATAGTATCGAAATCGAGTATCGAGTTCTTCTTCCAGTATCGAATCGAGTTTGAAATTTTAGTATCGTGACAACCCTAGTAACGAATGCCTTATTGTTTTTGAAGCATGAAGTAAGAGATGTATTGCATCCTTCTAGCTTTTTTTTTTGACAGATTGAGCGTTGCTGCAAAAATGACAGGTCTGAAGTTATTCCTTCAAGACACTCATAACTCATTGTAATCAATATTTGTGGTAATTTAATTTAAGTCATACTTTATAAGTTAACATTTCTCCATTTTCTGCAAAAATAAAGGCACTAATCAAACACAATTGTCAGTCTTTTGCAAACTCTTAAAAATGATATTTAATATGCAAATGCATTACTTTACAATTAAACAGAAGCATTAAAATGCGTGTAGCTGCAGCTTTAACACACCATCTGTATCAGAAATATCACAATCTATCGCCTAAAGTGTTTTAATACTGACTCTAGTGAAGAACTTTGCATGCTTTGATAATATCACGATATTACATATTGTATCTTTCCACTACAGCAAGTGGAGCAGCTACCTTCCCAAAACTATTAGAACGAAGGAAGCATTGAGTTGAGTTTAAACTGTGCAGCTATATTACCCACCTGGTTAAATGTTCTACTTCTGCTGGGATACTTTTTAATCTGTTCCCTCCAAGAGAAAGCGACTGTAGATGCAACAGTTTGGTACACTGAAGCGGGATCTCCTCAAAGCGGTTCCCACTAAAGTTCAACACCTCCAGCTGCAGAGAACCGAACTCCTTAGGCAGAGAAAACTCATCCAGTCGGTTGTTTTTGGCTAAAAGTGTTTTAAGTTTGGTGAGCCGCGTAATGCCGTCGCAGACGGAGGTCAGTCCGTTGTTGCTGATGTCCAGAAACTCCAGGTTAAAGAAAAGATTGACCGACGAGGGTAACGAGGTTAGTCTGTTGTAGTTCAGGTAGAGCTGTTTGGTGTCCTTTTTCCTCTCGCTGCTCACGCCGTCAGCGTTAAAACTAGTCAGACTCAAACGTGAAAAATCAAGCACACAGTCTCTTGCCGACGCTGCTCCTTCGCGACTCTCCATTTTGGCTGTTTCTAATTCTGTTCAAGACTTCAGAAGTTTTCCCGTCCACGAAAGCGTTAATTAACTCCAGGAAATGTGAATTTTAACCACGGACAGCCGAGTCGCCTGTAAAAACATGGGTGAAGTGTAGTACTGTTAGCTAAGAAGCAACATTACTCCCCACACACATGAACGCTAACAATGTAGCCATTCTTTAAGTGGGGTGGATTTTACGTTCCTCTTTTGTGATTGGTCAGCTTCATTTAAATCCCACCCACCAAGACGCCGATTGGCTGCTTTCTTCTTCTGTCTTTTTAGAGAATAATTACAGAAGGACACGTTTTCTACCTGTTACAGATTTACTTTTTATATTTAAATCTACGCAATATCGCGCCACGGTGCTTTACAACAGTGATTGAGATTTCGCAACAATGGGACAATGTCGTTTGATGTTCCATCATGCATGATGAGAAGCTCTCCAGGCATTATGCAACGGCTCTCCACTTTTACATTATGCAACGCTCTGCGAACTTTACGTGCACAGAATGAAAAAATATGTATTGCTAAACGAGTCCCTTGCATAACCCTAACGTTAAAGTAAAATGACAAAATGTGAAGCAGACACTTTTATGGCCAGTACCTACGATTTTAATGCTCTCTTATCTAATTTGGTGATGCATGAACACATTTTTCTTTCTAAAAATCACATTTTATAATGGACAGTGATAAAAGTTGTTGTTTTTAAGTTAGGTTGGTCAAATGATGCATGCTTTCATTAGACTGATAAGGTTATTTCTAGTTTTTACAGAAAATAACACAAAAATGAAAAATCAGTGCTGTAGTGTAGAGACTTTATTGTCATACAATCCTTACAAACAGGCATTTTAGTGGAATGAAAAAATCTAGTTCAAATCTTGTAATGCAACACACAGATGTTTCAGGGTTCTAAAATAATGCACATGATTTCTAATGAACATTCATAAAAGCTCACTCATTCTTGCAGTAACTAATGTAGAGGCAAGCTGATTCTGTTTGCAGGTCTAAGGCACTGATTTTTGTCGTTATACATCCCATTTTAGATACAAACACTTTAAACAAAGCTAACACACTTGTACACACACAAGCACACACACATTCACACACATTTTATTTGCACCCAGTTATTGATGCATCTATGCTACTTCAGCGGACAGTGAGGCTAGTCCTTCAGTTAGTGATTTTGAAAGCACAGGTATTGTGTTGTTGCTGGGTCCAGAGTAATGTTTTACCCGGAGAACATTTTACATCATTCAAACACTTCATTAAGACTTTGGTTTAAAGTTTCACCGTGTTATACTCTGATCAGGTTTCACTAACATGCAGTCAGAGCTGGATTGTTTAAAATGTTTAACATAAAAAAGAAACACGTTGGAAACTTGTCAAAGCATAACATGGTGACACGAGATCCCTACTCAACATACTGTACATAGAAACTTTTTTCATAACATTTTTTTTGCTGTAAATAATTACCTAAGCAGTAAGATACAAAGAAAAGAAGAGAAGTGCAACGGTCATGGTTATGTGGCAGTTCTAAATGGCAACTACGTTAAAAGCAACAAAAACGCTACCTTCTTATCTTATTTAGATGGAGAAATGCGTGGCACCATTTAAACAAACAAACAAACTTTCTCAGGTTCCAGATTCAAAACAATCTAAAGCACCAACTTCTATATTCCAAAAGAGTGACTACTTGGTTGTTTCTTTCCTAGTAACTTAAAAAAACGATATCAAGACTGTAGTAAAAACTACCCCTGGGCCTCGAGGTGCAGTAACAAAATCAAACATTACAGTACTGAACACAAGGCAGTCTGCTTACATTCTGATTGCCTTTGAATGTAACAAACAGCAAATATTAAAACACTGTAAAAAATGGATAATAATAATTCATATAGCAGAGACAAATAAATGTTTAATGAAACTCAAGGTAAATCAAGTATAAAAGAAGGGTTTTGGCACCACCATCTTCTTCTGCTGTGTCGTTTCTTAGACCTCTTTTGTGCTGACTTTCATCTTCTCGACTGTTTCCTGTATTTGGAAACATAAAAACGTTGAAAAATACAAAAATATATGATCCACCACTTGAAATAAAAAACTAAAAATACATATAAATAAAAAAACACAATAATGACTTAATGACCAAGTTTACTTGTTTTTTAAATACTTCTGAAGTGGTCTCTATTATAAATGAAAGTCTTGTGAGTGGATTTCTGTAGGAAAATAAAGCTCTGGCGCTCCTGTTTCGGGAACTAGAAGTGAGTTAGAATGGAGGTGAGCAGAACATGACAAGATTTGGAGTCTTATTTCCCAATTTTCGGACATCTCATCTTTGATTTGCTAAAAGCAACACGAACCTACCACTGACTTAGTTTCCTCTGCAGTTTTGATGTTTTATTTCCACAAATAACACAAGCCTGGAGAAGTTCTGCCACGTTGTGGAGTTGCTAATGCAAATTGTTAGCTAGCTGAGAGGAGGGCTACTCTCTCCTGGATGCTAAACCAGCAACAGCCTTCCCTGCTCGGTAGCCAAGATAGTTGAGTCCATGAATGCTAATGTTTGAGTGACAGAGCTGACTGGTTTTCTAATATGATAATTTCCCTGTTTATATTGGCAGCTTATGCAGAAAATAGGGGTAGAGGACCGTTTAGCCTGCATGCAAAACTCAGAGTGACCGATCATATTTCAAAGATTTCAAAGGTTTCTTAGTGAACTTGGTCTTTAAGCATCCACAGTAAGAAAAAACCTAAAACTATGCAGAAATGCCTCTGTCGTTTTTTTCTTTTGATCCTGCTAATTTAAATTGGACTTCACAAATGGCCGTATGACTCTAAATTTCTTCAATGTTTGGGTGCAAAAATGAACTCATTAACACAATTTAAAAACTAGCATCAGTGAAATGTGAACACAGCATTATTTTTTTTTGCGCTGCCAGCCAAGAAACCTTTTTGTCCCAGAAGGCCTTTCAAATTTCACAAAATTTCACTCTGCATCTACCAAATGTAGCTATCTCGTTTCATTTCAGATAAAAATATGTGCATATAGTTGGAAAGAAGCGTTAATGCCGCACAAACATTACTTTATAAACAATTTCACTAAGAAGTCCTCCTTTCTCGGAAGCAGGATTATGTGTTGAAGGTGATTCGAGCACGACTGCCAAAAATCGCACAGCCAGGTTTGACATTTGTTAAAGACATGTGTTAAAGCCGCTCGTCTGTGGGGAGCAGTGTATGTGACCTTGCTGACTCAGCGGTAACCTCCAGCCGGATCTCTGGAGATAACTTGAGAAAATCACGAGAGCATTCACACATAAACCACTGCACACCACAAGTAAAACCAGTTTCCTTTGTTTGATCGGAGCTTAAATATTACTAGACATTGTGAGGTGAATTGTGTTTAGAGAATGAATAAATGCATCAATGTCATAATAGAATTACATAAAACTAGTAAAAATGACTAATGAATCATTTTATTTGTCATCTGCCCTCTAAATAAAATCCATAACCCAGTTTTATTGCTTTAAATCTAGTAATTTCTGAGCTTTGGATTTATTTTTTCTCTTGATGGGCCTGGTGTGTGTTCATTTGTGTTCACGGACTGCTGGGATTTAAATGGACGTTAAAACACACAGCAAGGGAACATGGTTACATGGAGCCAGACACTGAGTTCATGGATTATAGTGGGACATTTCTTTGAATTTCTGCTCCGGCCTATTAGCAGAAGCTCAAAAACGAAAATCCCAGATCTGTGATTGTGGCAAAAGACGATCAAGTCAGTAAAATAAGAATCACATCTTGTTTGGCTGAATTTTGCCACTTTATGTAATTTATTAGTTAATGTGTACAGACCTGATGTTTGTTGAGCTCAGCCACACGGAGGTTCCACTCCTCCTCCGTCATCTCTGCTCCAGGATCTGCTGACTCATCCACAGCCCCATGTTTGTCTAGGCAGATAAAAAAAAAAGGTCAAAGGGCGTGTGCTTTTGAGAAATGAATCCCTCTAAGTCATTCACAAACAGGACAGAGACCTTTGCCGCTGCAGGTCATCGCAGTGCAGACCCAGTTGCCGCAGGCACAAACGCAGCGATTACACTCGACCTGCGTCTCTGCTCCATCCTCGTACAGTTCATCTTCCAGGGCACATTCTGCAGAACAACACATGATGATGAACTAAGCAAAGAGACTGTAAAATGCATCAGAGTGATAAACAAGAGGAGTAGATAACAGTATCCATGACTGAGGCCTGTCAGCCTTTCAGTGCCACATCATCCACGTCTTAATTTCCACCATTAAACGAATTTAAGGCTCGGAATAAAAAGAGAAAACTGTTTCTTAGCCAGATGTGTGTCTGTGCGTGTGTGTGTGTTTGCTTTTGAATTTGTTGCAGCTAGAGATTTTAGCACTGCACTGCGATTGGCTGGTAGAGTAATGCCTCCACTTTCTGTGAACTTTATCCCAGATACATCGACACCAGATGACTGACTGAGCAGAGCAAGGCTGCAACTACAAAACTGACTGTTCCTAACTCCCGGGAAAGGATTCCTGGATGGGAGGCTTTTTATTTTTTATTCTGAGTCTCCAAATCTCAATCTAACACCCTGATGAATAATTTCAGAGCATCTCTTTAACTCACTCTTCTCTGGTGGGTTGAAACCAGGTTTCAGACAGTTGAGAAACTCATCAAAGCTCAGCTTCCAGTCGGCGTTTTCATCGGAGAGCTCGATGAGCGCATCAACACACAGGCTCCTGGGAAACAAACATACAAGCAAAAGCAGAATAAAATGAGCTTTCAAGCACATATAGTGACAAGAAATCATCAGAAGCACCAGAAGCATCAAATAATAATTAGTTGAGAGAGATTTAGTCCTTAGAAAACAGGTGTTGAAGCCAGAGAGGGCTCCCACAGGAGTCCTTTGGTCGTGTTTGCTCTGGTCCTGACAAGTTTTCGGCAGCTGGGACTTTTAATAGCTCCACAGCAAACACAATCTATGTTTTATCACGAGCAAATATTTGAAAGGAGGTGGAAAAAATGCAAACATAGGTTGTTCTTACACCCGGAGTTCCTGTATGTAAGCACGAAGCCTCAAAACAAACTGACCTGAGCAGCCGGTTGCTCTCCTGGTCGGCGTAGGAGTGTAGCTCTACCACCGAGTCGTTGTGCTGGATGAAGTTCAGCAGTTCGGAGGAGTCCAACTGAGAGTCGCTGTTGGCGTAAGACTGCAGAAACACAAAACATGAACCGTAATGACTTTGTTGTAGTAACTTAGCAATATTTTGCTTAATACACTGCAAGCACACCGTTTGACACAATGTCTACTAAAGCCCCGTCTTAACTGTTCTGTTTATTTCTAAATGTAATGCTTCTTTATAAAAAATATAAATTTGAACTAACATTTTGCCAATCTAATGATCCTGATGTTAAATGAGCCATCAGCTCATTGACTTAAATGCCATGCAAGCCAGCAAGAACCACAGGTCCTCCTCTGCACACCCTCATTAAACTGAGTTATAGTTACCAGCTAATGCACTTGAAAGGTCTGCAGCATAAATAATAAGACTGGGTTTGAGTCCGCTGCAGGGATCCGGGTGGTTGGAGTGATGCTGTGCACTAATAGGGTCATTTCAGCTCTTCTGGGCAGCAGCAGGAGGAGGAGACTCACCTTGAAGTATTTCAGCAGGATTTCAGAGAAGTTGGACCCCTTGACGAACCAGCCATCCGGGATGACCTCGGTCTGCAGCCACTGGATGACACGACTCCTCAGCTCGTTGCGGTCAGCAGCATAGCACACCACTGCAGCAGTAAACATTTCCAAAGGTCAATAGCTTCAAACAATAGTCCAAAGGGGCAGTTAACTATCCTGGAAGCCTTTTACATCAGTCTTTCTATTAAACTGTAACCAAAATGCATTCACACAATGAATTAAAATGGCTACTAAATGTGTTTAATCTTTAAAATACAGCTGCATCCAAATAAATACACTCTTGTTTACACTGAAGCATCTTATTATTTCAGAAAAAATGTCATATTTTGTAATAAATGCTTAGAAACATAACTTCCACAAAGCTCACCTGGACTTGCAGCTGCCTGCCCAGTTTTCTTTTCTATAAAGAATTAAAGATGAACACATTAAACAAGCCTCAGAGATGATGACACGAGTCAGTGTGACACAACGATATCGTTCTGATTCGTCCGCCGCTGATCAACGTTCATGCCAGCAGTGAAACAATGACACTCTGTCGTGTGAGAAGTGAAAAGTTCACTTTAGATAGCGTGCTGTTGTAAGACGCGTGAGTAAAAGAGCTGAGGTCAGAGGTGTGAGTGTGGCGGCTTTTAATGCCTCTCCATGAACCCGGTCACCTCCGATTATCAGGGCCGTGAATATGTGCCAGTTCAGAGATCACACACGCTCCGGCATCTCATGGCAGGTCAGACCCAGATCGTTTCTCGCTTTTATCAGAGAACGCTTACAAATCGAACAAGACTTACGTAGATGCACGTGTGAGGTGCTTCGTTTCCCCTCAGCAGGCTGTACACAAAGTACAGCAGCTGATTAAAACTGCTCTGTGACGCCGTCAGAGTGAATAGGTATAATCACAGATAAATCAAAGACTTATGATTATTTATGCCAAATATAAGAAATATCATGTTAAAGGATGTCTTCCTGGAGGGATTCTTCCCCCCGAAAAAAATAAATTTCAGATAAAAATCATAGAATATACTCTTTATTCTATTTTAAGTATCTAAATGTTCTTTTTTTTAAGTTAACGGCCCCTTTAGCGAGTCCACCTGGATATGCAGTAAACAAAATATTCACTGCTGAACGCCTTTATCTGAGAACTCCAGCATAAAAACAAAAAACTAAACAAAAATGTAAAAAACAAGAATCTGAAGGAGCACATATCAGTCACATGCATCATGAGCAACCGACTTTAGAAATTGGACTTAGAGCTGATAATCAGGAGCGTGGTTTATCTTCAGATTAGCAGCACATTATTGGTTATTTGATAACACAACTAATGAGAAGCGTGTCGTAGAGGACATAAATCTTCATGTCAAATCATTTACAGTTACACTAAATGTTACTAAAACACTTTAAATGTGCTATTCTACCAAACAGGGACCCGTTTTGGGGGAATCGGCCTATAACGTCAGAGAAAATCATTAAAATTGAATTTTCATGATGAGAGTGGGTGTTGCGTGGCAGTTCTCGTACCCCGGCAGTGTCCATCGTGAGCCACTTGGATCTTCAAGCCGGTGAGACAAGCATCTCTGTGGAGCTCGCAGTGATTCCTGTAGGTCTTACCGTTGCTGCCACACACTGACCTCTTGTGGGGCTTGCAGCTCTGCAATCAGAACAGCTCCTAAATAAATACTTCTAAAACGATGCTGGGTTTGACTTGGACCACACCAGCGCTCACCTCTATGCACAGGCAGCTCGGCTCCCCCTTCTCACTGACGGCACACTCTCGGCCGGCTCCACAGAATACGTTGGCGCACACCTTGCTCTTGCTCTTCAGCTCCTGAGTGACACAAGAACAACGCGCTGATGTTTAGGAAAAGCTTTCACACACACGGTGGTGCTGTTGTGTTCTCAGAAGGCTCGTGTGCATGGAGAGCGTTCTGGTGTTATTTTTGTTAACCACATAACTGATAAAGGCAAGGCAGCTTAGTTTGTGTTGCACTTTTCAAGCACAAAGGCAAGTCAACGTGCCCTCTGGGAGCAAGAACAGCAAAATCAACGTGACAACATTAAATTCAATCAAAATACACAAATAAATTTAGATCAAATTAAATAAAGAAAATTTTAAGGCACTTTACTGCCCTGACACACTGGTGTTTGCATTGTTTAAGTAGTTTTCATGACGCTGACTAACATGTTTGGGGTTTATTTTACACTGGACTTGGCGAGAGTTAAAAATTACATTTATTTAGAGAAAATTTGATTCATTTATCTAAATTCTCTCCTAAACTTTATTTTTCCGCTGTATAAATTGTTCCTGTTGATACTTTTAATTTCTGACTTTTGAACTTTTCTTTGTTTCAGAAAATTGCCACTTAAAAAAAAAGGCAAAAGTGAGATCACCATCGCTGAATCGAACCAATCATGAGACGCCAAGCGGAGCTCTGAGAGCTGCATGTTGACCCTCGTTACCTCCTCCTCTCCCTGTGTGTGTGTGTGTGTGTGTGTGTGTGTGTGTGTGTGTGTGCATGCATGTGTGTGTGTGTGTGTGTTTGACTGTAGGGTGTTTCCACATCTGGAGTCTAAGCTGTGTTTTCCCATGCTTTGTAAAAAATGAAAGCATCTTTTCTCGTCTGTTTCTCCAGACTCTGCTCCCTCCCTCCATCCTCCTCCCCCCTAAGCACCCGTTTCCTGCCTGAGCGTGGTTGAAAGTTGGTGTTTCAGCATGTGAGCTGGATCCCATTAGCCCGTGTGTCTTCATGACTGTACGGTTTGGTATGTAGCTGTAGAAGAAGGTGGATTGTTGTCACAGCACCCAGTTAAACCTCTGGTTGTAAACCAAGCAGGATGGATTTAGGTGGAAGCATAATCACATGCCGGCTTAATGCAATTCCAACCCAAGAGGAGAAGCATTGTGGGGATTTCTTCATTTCTACAGAGTGCACACACACACTCCTCTGTCGAGGTCATGGAAAATCTTCAAAGCAGCTTGGTGGCCCAGAGCAAATTGGACAGTTGGGTTCAAATGGATCGGTGGCCCATCTGAACCTGTGGAGACATGAATAATGGACGAGCCCTTTAAATAAACCTGCTACAAAGATAGAAGTCTGTCAGTCCGTTCCTCTCCAAGCAAAGGATCCCTGACATTTAGCTAATGAACGCGGAGGCTGTTGTTTTAAGTGGCTCGTTGCCATAGTGAGCACATTTCCAGGCTCCCGTTGTTTCAGAGAGCTGTCGATCGGATCAGGCATCACCGCTGATACACAGCAGTGTGATCCCACTCCAATGACAGATTTTATGACACAGCTAAGGGAGGAGATGGCGACTGTATGTGACTTTTACTAAATCAGGAGAGGCTGTGGTCATTAGTCATGTCTGACTGAGGCTACAAGGATACTGTGGATACAAGCATGGTTCTCTTTTACATCATCTGTCTACATCAGGGCTGGGCCCCATGGAAACAATTTCCCATCACGATATTAAGTGTTATATTGGTCGATTTCGATATACATTACCATATAAACAAATCACTACTTTTGTCGATCTTTTAGGTTTTCTGGTACTTTTAACTGAGATTTAAAGATATCAGACTTTTTTTATAGGTTTATTTTTAAAAGTTGCACATTTTAAGCATTATAGTTGCTGTAGCAATCTATTGTGCAGGGATTGATTACTTCAGCCCACTGAGATTGGTTTGTATTTGGTTTTGACTTTATCTTCTGATTGAGCAAGTTGTGTAGAGAAGATGTGAATTAAGTGTTACATACATGGTCCTTAAAGTAAATTAATCAAACTCACTCATGTCTGGGATTATAAAGTTCTACATCCCAATGCTCCAATGGGCTGAGCCAGTTCATGAGCTCAAACAGATCGGTGGTTTCCTCCAAGTTTGTCAGAGCCTGCACATCGACATTACCTAGCCAAACTACTAGAGCCCTGCACTGAAGCCCTAGGCCCTCGGGTCGGGCTTTGGGCCAACGACTGGGTAATTACCTCGGACACGGGCCGGGCCGGGCGCCTTTATTTTTAATCAAATTCATAAAAAAAATTGAAACACTTAAACAAGGGGTCGGCAACCTGCTCCCATCAAAGAGCCATGATTACCCGTTTCCCACAGTAAAGACAACACTGGGAGCCACAGCAGCCGCGGCGTTGTGGGCGGGGCCTACCCTCAGACAGCAGAGCGCTGCTCACAACAGGTGACAGCAGCCAGTACCGGTCGCTCGTGTATGTCAAAGTTATCTTTCATAAGACGATAATCAATAAAATGATTTATATAAAGTGGATCCAGAAGTTGTAGCCCGTCTCTGCCGACAATATTTTGATATTTTTCACCCTGTTGGTGGTTTTACTGAGCAGGTGCCACTTTTGTCATACGTTTCTTTTTAAAACATGTTTAGACTTTTCAGAATACAAATCCAGGCTCTGTCACGTTTGATTGTTGTAATTAAACTTTGTAGGTGGGGAAGGTCAGAAAAGGATCCGATCAATTTGTTTTTCCCTCATTTACAGTGACGGAGATAACGGCGCAGTGTGCCTGGCTCTGGTGTTAATCAAGTTAAATTTGATCTATTTTCACAAGAAAACAGAACAGTTAAAAGCAGGGCTTGTGTTGACCGGATAGTTCCCGTATTTGACCGTTTATTTTGAAGGAGAAAGAATAGAAAGAATTACCCCGACGCATGCAGACGAACTGGCACTTTATTCTACGCAAATCGCAGATGTAGCTAAATCGCTCAAGAAAAGATTCCCATCTGAACATCTGAGCTGGACACCGCTCATTGAACATGACACGGAGAAAAACAAAGGGAAGATGGCTGTAAGTTTAGCTAACCTAAAATCCTTCCTTTAGGAGGAAAAAAGACCAGAGGAGCAGAGATTATGTTTGTAGTTGTGCTAATTACCGTATTTTCCGGACTATAAGTCGCTCCGGAGTATAAGTCGCACCAGCCATAAAGTGTATAATGAAGAAGAAAAAACATATGTTAGTCACATTTTGGGGGGAAATTTTATTATTTTTCTTACAAAATTTGAGACCAAGCATTTCACATTGCACGACAAGTACCGGTAACAATAACAGAATAAACAACGCGGGCGCAGCAGCGCGCCAGATCTCTAGCAAAGGATGGCGGTGTTTGAAACCCTCCCAGCGGGACAGGGGAGCTCATTCCTAGGTCGGAGCTGGCCGGCAGCAGCGCGCCACAGGCTGCAGCAGGTGATGGCGGGGCAGAAGAGCTGAAACCTGGGCCGGATCCAGTGCGCAACGGCACGCATGCAGGCTACAACTGTCACGGTCTGCCTCTATCAGCAGGTGAGGTAACCTGGCAGTCAGCTGTTTGTGTTGCAGGTGGGCGTGGCACGAGCTCCAGCTGATCCTGATTCCGCTAATCAGAGGGCCAGGGGATTTAAGGAGCGTTGTGACACAAGTCCAGCGACGGTTGATACTCTCACCAGGGTAGCTTCTAGCCCAGTACATTACCTGATCTTCTAACGAACTTGTTCTATGAGATCCTGTATGCTCTTGTTTCTAGTATCGTGCCTTGCATCCTCTAACCACGCCTGGAGTTGTTTTCCTCCTCTCATTGCTCAGGATCCTCTGGCCTCCACTCTCCATCACTCTGCCTGCCTGCCTGCCAACCTACACCCTGGACTCACACAACCTTCTCCTGTCCACCAAATAGTGCCCCAGAGCAGCCACCTGCTGCAGCTCACCGCTCCCCTCCATGGGGATGGGTCAAATGTGGAGATGAATTTCACCAGTGTGTGATGGTGACTATGGGACTTTAACTTTAATGCAGGGAATAGAGGTAGAAGACTATTTTCACATTATTAATTAATATTTTAAGCATAACAAGTAAATAATGGTTTCTCAGTGAACTTGCTCTTTCACAAAAACACTGAGTAATGTCACAAATGAGCCATATTTCACTCAGAGTAAATGAAGCATTTTCCCATTTCAAACTAACCACGTTTGCTTTTTTCTTAATGGATCATAACAAAATAAAAAGGCTCATCCCAGAAGAAGCTGCCATTAGCTTAATACTGAGTGCATGCAGGATCATCTAACTTCTCGTGTTTCTTTTTTCAGCCACTCATTTCTACGATCAGACTGTCAGGATAATGAAATTACCTGAAGTATTTATGATGATTAAAACATAAGTTCTGTGTTCAGCTGATAAAACACAGTGAACTTGGGGCAGCCTCATTGAGCTTTGGAGGAGCTCAAAGGAGGAAAATGAAAGAGCAGAAAGAATAGGAGGAGGAAGGTGTGAAGGGAATCTCAATGTAGGAATAAGTAGCAGGTGAAGATTTCCTCAGCTTGAACAATTTGAAGCTCATAGTCGGGGTTGAGTTTTTACTGCAGATGAGAATGTAGGCAGCACAAAAACTGTGTGTATATAAAGAAGAGGCTTCATCGATTACCCAAACCAATCAATGCTTCTGTGGATGTCACCATGATTTCATCCCCACAATGCACCCTGAGCTCCATTATGAGACAACATTGATTTGTGGATTGTGAACACCCCAGAACAGCCAACAAGATGAAAATTACTTGACACCAGACCTGAGAGATGCATCATCCTTTAGTCGATCCTAATGGACAGTTTGAGACTATCACTCTGGGATTTAGTTTGTTGTTTAGTTCCTATAAGTTCAAGGGGTGACTGGGGGGTGGGGGCACATGACGCCCCCGCTAACTTTTCTTGGGGCACCACTGCTGAATTTTAGGAGCTCTTTCATACTTTATTAGTCACTGCCGAACATTTAGTGTGTACGGGTAACAGGAAAATCTGAATCTGTAACAAAACATTTAAAAATGGAGAAGTAGCTAATTATAAT